GACCTATAAAGAAAGATTGGGGCCCTAGGCAAAACGGCAGCAACCCCCCGATCCCTCTGATAGACTTCAGTAGGTGCTGAGAAGCTGCTCCATCTTCGTTCTGCATCTGTCGTCATAGCCTACCCCATCAGACACCAAGCACCTACAAGTGCATCCCCCTTCTGAAGTGACAGACTGGCTCAAATCTTTGACCACCTGTGCTATCCCCCTTGTTATATTGCAGGAGCATAAAGATTGTAGCTGGGCCCCTGAATGTGCAATAGGCCCTGGGCTTCTGTCTAAGTTACCTTGTAGATGTCTTATTGCAGCTTTGTCTCTTTTCTGCCACCTTCTCAGGAGAACACCAAAGTCACATATTGCTCTCCCTCATTTTGTCATCCTATAGGTGGCACAGTAATTTACATACAAGGTGAAACAGAGCTTGAACAGGGCACAGATCTATCTTCACGTAGCAGAAATCTGCATCTGCAATTTCTATATTTTATCACCATCTATATTTTCAGTGCTGCAGAACAAATAGGTAGATTTTGATTGAGGACCACAAGCTGGCTATTCATTGTCTATCTACTGCTGTTTTCCGAGAGCTGCGTGACAGCAAAGAAACATCTTGCCTGATTGTAACAATTTTATTATATCCCATAACTGCTATAGCAAATCCTTTCCGTAAAATCCATGCTCCACTCTCTGACAGCTGTGATTGTCTTTCACTTATAAACCCCAGTGGAGGAATAGAAAAATAAGCTGCCTGGATAAGCCATGAAGGCCCATATAGGTATCAGAGACTTCCTTTGTTTGAACGCTACTTTTGTATGTCTTTCTGTAGACAATTACTCAGATATATTTAGCAGTACAAACTGTAGCAAACTATAGCAAATCAGAATTCAATTTATTGAAATGTAGTTAGTAAAACATGAGTTCTGTGTTGCTGTGTTTTGTTTATACTGTTTTTTGCCTTTTTTCTTAAGGTCTGTTGCATAATTATGGTCAGGTGAAAATTTTATCATTTAACTCCAGAAAAAAACAAATTATAAAAGCATACATAATTTGTATTTGATTTTGCACTTTATTTAGCTATATAGCATGACTTTAAATTGATCTCAGACTGCAAAAAAATTAAATTTTCAACAATATTTCATTTTAGTATTTTTTTTTCTTTACAAGACTTAATTTGTCTGCATGCTTTGATACTGTCCTGAAACTACTGAGAACTGCAAATGTGTATAACCTAAAGCAATAGTCCATGTAGCGTAATCTTTAGCAATGTTTTCTATAAATGGGGGGAGGCTCCTTTTTGTATTAAAATCAGAGACATATTAAAGCAGCTTTGCCCCCCTCAACTCACTTACACTTCAGTTGACAGTGTTAAGGATTGCAGTAGGCACAGAGAACTACACATGGACTAGCCTATCAGACATTAACTACCTATGTGCATCCTCCATTGTAAAGTGATGGGCAGGTGCACAGCTTTGACCAATTCACTATCCCCTTAGTTTACTCTAGAAGCATGAAAATTGTAGCTGGGCCCACTGGACATCTATTGGGCTTTAGGTTACTGACTAGGTTGCCCTATAGATGCTCTGTTATTAATCAGTAGTGCTGCCAGGCTGACACAAAGGTATTTGTATTGGGGAGTGGAACAGCAAAGTAAAGAGTTATAAATGGGAGGGAAATAGAGGAAATAGTGCTCATCAACAATGTTGCAAATAAAAATGTCAAAAGGGTGATCTTCAGTAATGCTGGGTACCCGCTATCAGGTTTTTTTTTTTTTCGTTCAACCAAGCAGGCTCGCTGTACTAACTATCCAATCTTGGTACAGCAATCACCCTGCTGAGTTATTGTGTTCTGACAGGAGGACTGCCCCCCCCCCCACCAGAACACACCAGGCACCACTTGCAGCCATTGGCTGCCAGCACTGATTGGATGCAATTGGATGCTGGCTTTCCAGCATTTTCCATTTGACAGCCAGCTTCTGCCGGCCAGGTTGATGTAGACAAGGGCCGAATGTTGGCCAGTTTCTATTTAACTGGCCTGTATACAGGGTTTAAAACCTAAACATCTGAAAAAGAACACAGTGAATAGTGGAAGTTTCATAGTAAAATGTTGATATAGAGGCTTGTTGTCTAGCAAGGGGTAGACATGATGGGGTTTATTTACTAAAGCTGGAGAGTCCAAAATCAGACTCCCTTCTGCATAGAAACCAATCAGCTTCCAGGTTTCATTGAAAGCTTAATTGAACAAGCTGAGGTTAGAAGCTGATTGGTTTCTATGCAGAAGGGAGTCTGATTTTGGACTCTCCAGCTTTAGTAAATAAACCCCGATATGTCGGGCTTCATGGTTGATAATCCTGCTAGGTGATCACTTTAATTCTCCTCGTTATAGGGACATCTCTGTGTACATACTGGGCATTATTCTCTTCCATTTCACTATATCCTGCTCCATAGGCTTCACAGCCTAAAGGCATGACATATGTCATTAGTGAAGTACCGGCACATATTACATGTACTTACAGCATCAATGCAAGCATTTTTTTAAATTAATCTCCTTTACTATAACCATTAGCTGTCTGCCTGTGGAGGTTGTGCTGCAATTGAATGAAAGCTGCGTTAAAAGCTTCCTTCATAACATTCTGTGGATTTTCCCCAAACGTAATAGCAGATTTGCAGATTAATCTTTTTAAATATTTAAGAAGAGTATCTAGGAATATTTGGCTACTCCACTAGGGGAAATGTTCATCTTGCTCAGCCAGAACTGGTAAATGTCATTTTAGATGCTGCTCCTTTAGGCTGCTCCTTTGGCCCAATGAACAGCATGCAGTAATATTACAAGCAGGTATCCTAATCTAAAGCCCCAATTCATATGTGCAGTTACTGCCTGGGCATCCAGGGTCCTCATGAATAAGGCTTGGTGGGCAGGGCAAAATGTATCAGGATGTGGTTTGGTGGAGACATGTAGGCTGAGGCTGCTCTTTATCATTTATTCACCCGGGCTGGTCTGGCGTAGCGACAATCCTTTCCTCTGTACATTTTCTAGCCTTCTGGATTGGTATTTGGACAAGCCTGTGCCCCATGCTCTGGGACTCAGGGATATGCTTTCACTTCCACATTGAGCAGCACCAAAGCAATCTAACAGATTGCAGCTTTCTAAAACTACATTGTAGCTCCCCTTTAAGATTTCTGTGCAGTCAACAATATAGGTTGCCTTCTATGCAATCTGTTTCTGGCAGGCTGAGAAAAAAAATATGTAAAACGTATTCAGTAACATGTGTCACCTAAAATCTTTTTTTTTTCTCTTTCACATTTAGCTTTGATTGAGGGAAATGCTTGTCTTGTCTCTTTTGTTCTTCATACTGTACACGCCAATTATCAGGCCTTGATGAAGACATCCTCCATAACAGTGCAGATATTGTTTACAGGTCATGCATGTATACTTCACTGCTAAAGGATTAATTCATTTCTTCTTCCAGCTGTTCAGATGAATTTTATGTTGGCAGTTATACAGCAGAGGGCTCAACATCATCACGCAAATCAACTTCAGGAATTATCATTTTGTTTAGCTGTATCCAACCATGAAATGTGATCCCCTCCAGCCTTGTTATTCCCATATTACTCATGTAGCACCTACTTGTAGGCTGCATATATTTCAGGGATTGTGATCTACTTTCCCAGTTCAGCAATTCTTTGTTGTACCTGGTTACACGTACAATATGTGCAGAACTTTTGCTTTAACATCCGTTATTTGAGTGAATTTGGTTAAAGTATATAGTAGAATATTGTACTGTGTGCCATCGTTTAATGCAGAAAGTGTGGTTTAAGTGATACCCTTTTGTATAAAGCAGGAAGATGGGATCTAAAAAATCCCAATAACTCGCAGCTTTGGAAGTGGAAGGTGAGGCTAATGAGAACTATTCTAAAAAATGCCCCCCCCCCCCCCCCCCCCACTATCTATCCTGCCTAACCTACTAAAATTAAAAGCTCTGTTTAAAGGAGAGCTCAACAAGGACTGTGAATTCCAGGAGCCATGATATCACCCATAGACTCCTGTGGCCCAGCCATTGTCAGCACTCCCTCCTCTCCACTGCAGCAGCTGCTCTCTGACATAGGGGAGCCGGAGGTGTGGGTTCACATGACCAGACCTCAGCAGATTAAAAATAAGAAAGTACACACATTTTTTTAATACAGGTTAGAAAGGATAGGTGGGGGGGACATTTTTTAAAATAGTTATAGTTAGGGTTTTTCTTACACTTTAATACCTTAACTCAATAAAGGTATCACTAAAACTACAAATTTGCTGCTTTAAAGTGTATCTACAGTCAAAATATTTTTTTTACTTATGACTAGTGTGAAATTGTTAAAACTTCTGTAAAATGTTTTTTTTTCTTTTGCTGTCCATGTCCCTTTGAGAAGATTGTCCTATACGTCCTGTCTCATAGAAATCTTCTAAAGTAAAGGGAATCATCTTTTAGACATGTAGGGACTGATGTACATGGGTATCAAGCACAGATGCAACTCAAATGCAGGAGGCTTTCAGGTATTCCTGAGTTGCTCTGGCTTTCTTCCAAGTGGCTTTGTTTTGCCTTTGAGCTGCTTAAGGAGTTCCTATGAGTTGCATTTTTGTTGTCCTGTTGACTTGTATATGGGAGAAATTCAGTTGTGATGTAAACCATAACCCTTGAAAACACGTGTGTTGCTTCTGACTATGTAGTGGAGTGGGTAGGCACAAATATAAATGTTTCCATGCATCAGGCTGTATATAAGTTACTCACAATCTTAAAAAAAAGATACTGGTTACAGTAAGTGATTTTAACAGTTCCTCATTTTCAAACTAAATATCCGGCTTTTTAATTAGACTATAGTCTGTATTTATTATTTTGTATCTCAAGTTTTCCCAATGTAATTGTATAATTGCATGTCACTAGGGGCTACATTTAAGTCCCCTTCACATTTACTCAGGGACAAATCCATTGCTGCAAGTTATGTGCTAAGCTTTATTTTCCTTTGTAGGAGATTAGAGCAAAACTCAATCAAGGTCATACCTCCAGGGGCTTTCTCACCGTATAAAAAACTACGAAGAATGTAAGTAACAAATACTTTCAAGCAGCACTTTAATGGGGGTCACCGGTGTTTAAAAATATTCTCTGCACGGCTTTCACAGATGGGCGATTAGCAAATATTATGCTCTGAATCCTAAAGCCACAGGACTTTTTACTCTTGTTAATCATCTGTAACTTTGACTTATGAGCATTAAATACCAACATTAATGTTTATTAAGCCAGCTCTACCTCAAATGTCATCAGTCTGGCTACACAAGAAGACATGGACACTGTTAAATGTACATTTGGGTAGCTCTATTGGCTAATAAGTCAACATTTCTTATTCATTCTGCTGCGTATAAAGTAATGTTACATGGCAAAACAATACCGCATTATACAATATTACCTTAATAGTGATTTTCACTAAGATACCAGGATGTCTTCATACTGTCATTGTTGATAGTGATTTCCAATTCGATACCAGGAGGCTTTTACACTGACTTACTTAGTTCATAGTGATTTCCTCTTAGGTACCATGAGGTCTTTATATTATCATAGTTAACAGTGATTTTAACTTAATATCTTCTGTCTAATAAACACAAAACATTCTTTCTAACAATAGTATGATACCTGATCATAAAAGTTTTTCTTTTTATTATTCAAGTGATTTAAGCAACAACCAGATATCGGAAATTGCTCCGGATGCATTTCAAGGCCTGCGTTCCCTCAACTCCTTGTAAGTACCAATTCTTTTTACATAAGAATCGAAATTCCAACTTTATGTGGCTTGACGACGTTCAGCCTGTTTGACTTGCTGTGAAGCTCCTCCTGAGCAGCTCTCTCATACTGTCTAGCAGCTGTAAAACACAAAACCAGAATGTCATCAACATGAAAGTGAATCTTGACTATCTGCTGCTGGATTGGCTTCGAACAACTTCCTGGATGATTATAAATCAGCTTGGGCGGCTTGTTCGCTACATAAATCCACCAATGCATTGATTTGTGTTGCAGCTTTTAAAATTATAATGGATTATTTCTGACATGTTATTTATTGGTATAATATACCTGGAGACAAAACATAATCACTTTGCAATAAATCTTACAAATAAATAAACAGGGGCCATGGCAATACATATTTGTGCATACATTTGGAATTGTGAGCAATAATGCCATAAAATCAGTAACAATAATTTGAGCGTGGATGAATGTGCAGGGAAAAAGGACAAGGCCATTGTTTCGGTTGGCTGCACAATCAACAGGAGGTTTCCCATTTTGCTGAAAAACCACCTAAAAAAGAAACACAGCCTGTTCAGCCCTTGCCATCAATTCTTTAGGACAATGCTTTTATAGGACAAAAAGGGATGTAAACTGCTTCTACCACTGCTGAATTCGCCCTGAGCTAGTTTCACTCTATTTTAGGACAAGCAACGATGATACCATAACCCTGCCAGAACCTTTACAGAATATGTTTTTAACATAATTAAAATAAGTGGGGGGCAACAGAGGAGCAGTACCCTAGAGGAACAATAAAGATTCTTGGAAAGATCAACTTGTTGACACCCACCGAAAACTAAAATGTGTGTTCTGGCTGTACTCAAGTCTGGGATGGCAGAAAGGCCCTAACCAAGGATGGAATACATTAAAATTAGAAGGGGCAGTATGCTGGACTGCACTGATTTATCACATTTGCTCTTACACAATAGAAATAGGCTAAGACTAGACAAGATAGATAACACCATGTTGATAGAACACTCCAATGACAAAAAGCAGGTTGCCTCATGAATCCTCTTCCCTATTATATGATGAATATTCTGCCATAGTCTGAGCAATTATATAGTAAAATAGTCTCTGCTTTGCTGAGCTATAACGCTGACAAATATATAGTGGCTATTCAACATAGAATATTCACTAAGACTGGTTACTGCTTAGCTCATATGTTTTTCCTGCAGAAATATTAACTAACATGTGAGTAAAACGGGAGTAGACCATTATTAATACCAGCATACCATGTGACAGGTCATAGTTTACTTCCCATTACAGACACACCATAAACACGAGTCACTTAGACAAATTAGCAGACATTAACAGACTCTTGTTTCACTTGATCGTGATGAATTCTTTCCAGAGAGGGAGATTTATCAAATCATTTTTCTTCAGCACAAGATTTATATTCCTGCTTTCTTTTTAAGTCTTTTTTTTTTCTGTAACCACCATCCCAGCGTGGGATATAATGACAACCGCACCTTTATCATTAGAGTTCAAACCTCCTAAAACTTCAGTGTGCTCTGGAGGATCAGCCGCTCTGCCCCAGATTAGCCTCTGAATCAATAGAAATATATACAGGGTGGCATTTCAATCATGGTGTCCCCAGGTATCTCTTACTGCTGTGTTCGTATTACATAAGTCTTTTGTTGTGGCATTTTGTCATACATCTCTGTATCAAGACAAGTGTGATTTACATGTAATGGCATCATTTAATACTAGCTTGTCTTAGATGACTTGTAGAAGGCTTGATAACATATTTCAGCATAAATAAGCCTTATACTTACTTGACACATCAGTTTTCCTTTTTTCTTTTTTTTTGCAGATATGAGGTTTTTGTCTTTTCTTTTATCAGAGCCATATGCATTTGCAGTTTTGTCTGTCTTTAATGCAATATTTTTTTTTGCATGCTTTAAAACATTGATTTGAAAAAAACCTGTTCCATGATACCATACATTCTATGACCTGAAAAAGAAAGTGAACTTTTACCACAATAGGCCAAGGCCTATTCACAAATCTGAGACCTGGATAGGAGGGTAGGTAGGTAGACAGACAGACCGTCAGCTCTGCGTGCACTGCATTTATGTTAAGTGACAGATAAGTAGTTTCAATGTCTTGAGCTGCTTGGAAGCTATGCCTTGTCATCAAAACTGGCGTGTTTGGTACAGGTACCATATGACAGGTAAGCCACAGGCACAGCACTAAATAACGGCTCACAGAAAATGTCATTATAAGGTGAAAATGGATTGACACAGACAGACAGCTTCTGTAGATTTATCCTACCTCTTTAATTACTGACATACATTTTGTTGTACGTGCTTAGTGGTAATTACGTTCAATCAGTAGAGTCAATATACTCAAGGAGTAAGGAATAGCCAATCATGCACAGGGGAAATTAAAGAAAACATGCTTTTTGATTGGCTGGTTGTGGTTCTATTCACCAAGCTGAATGGAAAAGTTCTACTCCATTAAATAATCAGAAATCAGACTCCATGTTTTACCTGCATTTATTAAATAGAAGTACTTGCAGAACATGTGTAGCCCATATGTATACTTAAAGGGATCCATTGGAGACCCTGACTTAGAATATTCATTGGTGCATATTTATTTATAGCATTACAGTGTATGGACTGCCCATACTTAACAGGAACAATGTCTCTATGATAAATTGCCTTCAGAAATGTCTTTATGGAGATGTTTTGACCTCATGTCAGCCTACTTTTTCTGTAGCAATTCCACAGAGAGCTGATTCTAGACCAGAGCCTCAGTGTCATGATACAGGACAGACATGTCCTAATCTGAACTAAATTCTTAATGATTTGTTTTCCTTGTAATAAATAGCAGTGGGAGTAGATTTTTTTTCTGGTAATACCATATGCTGCAGTAATTATATGTCTATGTACTTCATTATTGTGGATAATTGTTTCGCTTGTAAGTTCCCTGTATTTATCATCAGCTGTTTACAAAAGGAAAATAACCAAGCATATTTAATCAGGCACTGAGGATGCCTGCCCTGCGATAACACATAACCAATAACATTTCATCCCCATCACTTCAGAGCAGTCACAGTAATGAAAGATGGTGCAACTAATTAAACTCCTTAAAGCAGAACTTTAGCCAAAAGTACACTTTGGACAGAGTGTGGGAGCTTTGAAACTAGTATAGGTATTACAATTTTGTTCCCTTTATGGAAAACGTGTTTCCTTGGTAGTCAGTTGGATGGGATGTGATGGTAAATTTCCCCAACAGAGGTTAGACAGCAGTACAAACCTGACAAACATTCTAACCATCTCCAGACTGTAAAGCTAACAAAGGTGCTGGCTGTTGAGGAATGTACATTGCATCATGGGATGTTGGCAGGGCTTTGCCAGAATTCCAACAAGAAATTCAAGTTTATATATTCGTACCTCAAGCCCAAGTTTGTGGTTTCCCAGGTCCACAGCAGAACTTTGGCTAACAAAGTAACGTTATGCTCAGGCATGTTTTCAGTCTGTCACTTATAACCGTTTAATGGTTTCACATTTTCATTGTTATGACCTGTTTCTTTGTAATGCACTTTGTGCTTTCCCTTGTTACCTTGTTTTGGCTATTTACAAGAATGATCTGGGAAACAGACACAACAGCAGCAAACAGGGTATGGCCATACTTCTCCTGAAATTGATAGATTTGTGCAAAAGTACAAAGCATTCACAAAATGTGCACCGCTTTATGTCAGGGATAAGTTGGGGGCTCTGGCAAGTTCCAAGGCTCCACGGTATATGTGATATCTGTGAAACTATTGCCAGGCATACTAACTACAGTGATTGTGTTTTTTGTCTGTCTTATTACAGGGTTCTTTATGGAAACAAAATCACGGAGCTCCCTCAGAATGTGTTTGAAGGCCTGTTTTCATTACAGCTACTGTAAGTATACCTTTGTTTGTTAAGTAAATCAAGAGCCTTGATTAAACTGAAGCTCTTGTTTAATAGAGTAAAAAAGTTAGCACCCCCATTAGGTTTTTATTATGGCTGGGGAGATTTTTCCTCACTTCCTACCCCAGTGTCACCATCCAAAGCTGATATTTTTGTTTTAAATGGAAAAGTCCAACAAGAAACTACACTGCTCCAAGTCCTGTAATATTGCTCCTCAGGTCCTGTGCTGCATCAGGTGCTGGCATGGAAGAGCTCGTCCCACTTAGGATATGTAGCATAGAGTAAAATACAGAGCCACAGTCTGTATATATGACATTGTAGGCTTTATTCAGTGTAACTGGCTTCTAAACACATTTCCCACCTTTAGCCATGGCCCTCTGACGTGTTTCGTCCTGATTGGGTTTAATTTTAGATTTTCCTGCAGTAGTTTGTTTCTTTAGTGTCTCCTACAAGGCCATAATGAAGGTGTCACTCTCACAGAGCTGGACTGCCTATTTGTTTTTTCTATTTTACATCATAGAGAATGCATTAGTGATGTGTGACACAGGCATTCTAATGACCACAGCAGGAGATGGATCTGGGAATTCGGCTAAGTATATTCCAGCAATGGAGTCCCTGACAAATATAAGCTCACATGTGATTCAACTTGTCAGCAACTACACAAACCTTAAACATCAGTTTATGTATCCTTAAAGGTTTTGTTTTATTCAAAATGAACATCTTTATGCTATTTTTAAACATGTTAACCTCTAAAATATGACGCAGTGTGTTCTGATGTCAGCTATAGCTGGCATTGGAAAGTTTGATGGATTGAAATCTGAGCATTCAGAAACCACAAATTGTCCTAATTTATAGCAGAACCAGACTAAGAAGCCATAAATGAGAAACACATATGTTTCGTATATGCTTACTTATCAATTATATGCATTAGTGATTTGCAAGGCCCGCGTTTACTGCATGACAACATCTGAATTTAAATACATTGCGTTCATCATCTCCATGTGTTGAGACATCTTTTTCGCACATGTTGGTACTAATTCACGCTGCACTGATGGGGTATTATTCAACTTGCCAGGAAAAGGTCATGTCTAAGTGTCATCATTGAAGTTATATTTTGCTTATTATATATCATTATTCAATAATGGCATGCTTGATAAGGCACTTTTGACTCCTTTCCTTTGATCTTATTCAGTGGTAAAATTGTAAGTCAAAATGTGTACATGTCATTTAAATAGCTGCCAGTATACATTTTTTAATATTCGTTCCAGGGACAAAGTGCTGTTGGGCTAGTGTGCCTTAACTTGTCAACACAGAATAGGGGAGCATAACCAAAAATGACAAGGCTTCATGGCAAATGTGACAGTCCCCCCTGGCATTATGTTCTTTCATTTTATTCCCTGAACCTCTAATGACGAATTCTAAAAGTTTGACTAATGCCAGTGTTTTTTGCATAGCAGTTGCATTGCATTGTGGCGTGGGCCTTATTTATAAGTGTATGGTTGTAGAACTTACTGTATTTTCCACCTGGGAGCCAATCATAGTAAGTCTCATATATTAAAAGTAACAGTGCTACTATAGATATAGACGTAAATGATTTGCCTCATGACACTTCATTCATGTTGGCACAACTCTACAGCACCCCATTGGTGGTCCATTGCTTTTGTAATGGAGCTTGATTCTCAAGCACATGGGGTCTATTTATTAATGTTTTCATACAAGATTTACACAATTTTAGCTCATGAGTCACCCATTTTTGTAATGGAATTTTATGTAAAAAATGGGTATGTTTTAAGAGAACATTGAGTGAATTGTGGGTAAAAATAGTGATAAATAGACCCCTATATGTTTTGTGACATGTTAAATAATGTGCCTACCCTATTGTAACTGCATTGTGTTTGGGGCATAAAGTGGTACCATAACTTAAGGCATTGAGAGAAGTGTACATATGTTTTTTTTTTTCTTTTCCCATTCCTTTCTGCTAGGGAAGGTTAGAAAATACAACTAAGATGCTGATTGGTTATGAAAAATATCTTTCAATAGCATCTATCCCCTTTTCCCGCTTACATACCCAACACCACATTCTGGCTGGGAATAGGAGTTCAGCTAAGTAGTTTAGTAGTTCAAGCTAGGTTTTCTTTTTATTTCTATTGAGAGTCAGTAGGACTCATCATAAGGTAATGCCTTGGCTGAGAATTAGAATCAGCATCTCAATAGGTGATCCCCTACCTATACAGAATCCTGTTACATATTCAAATCTCTGGTGTGATGAAATCTGCTAGTTCCCGCAACATCCAATACCCAATTTTTGGTGGATTTCCATCTAAAGCAATCATTGCTGAGGTATGCTGTTAAATACAATTAATTAGAATTGCCTTTTTTGCCCATTGGACTCATTATTCTGGCCTGTCATACTCCTGGCACCTGCATTACAGCAAAAAACCACATGTGCCAATAACGTGCTGAAGTAAGGATTAGCTATTGGAGCAATGCTTGGCTTGTAGCCAGGATGCCAGAATGTGGATGCACTAAGCTGACAGTTCACCTGCTTTTCACATACACAGCTGGTAGTTAAACACTGTAAGGGCAACATTCCTACCTGTTGAAGGTCTTGCCCATAACAGCAGCAGTTTGCAAACCACTTGAAAGGAGCAAGCGTGTCTGACAGCACCTTGGAAACCATACAAGATGTTCTGCTTCAGCACACAACGTAATGTAATGTAAGCAATTGAAAATAATAAAACCGCAGCAGAAAGGAAAGGAAAATATACATGGCAGCTTAGCTTCAGCCACAACAAACCGCTTAATCAATAATGTATGATAGTACGTTTATTTTGTTATACATTTTTTGTGCTGCGCTGTGCTATAAGTTGACACCTCAATGTGACGTATGTTACATCATATAATATTGTGGTAATCTTCATTTTCCTGCCATCTCACTGCCAACCTAGTTTGAATATTTGAACTTTTTTTTAAAGTATTTATATGCTCTCTATACATACATTTAGTACAAACAAAATTTGTCCATAGAGTTGTTTGGATAGAGTTAGAACCTATTAACTGTCTGTGTACATGTTGGGGTGCTTGCCTTAATTCCCATCATGGCATTGTGATAGGAAGTAAGGAGAAATGTCCTTGGGCACAAGAAATAGTAAAAAAAAAACCTTTTTTTTCAGGGAACCTCTGTCAGGTTTTATTCTGTTGCATGATCATTTGGGAGATTCCCCTTCACTTTTTGTACTGATAACAGATGTCACTGGGACAAGTGAAGGGAAATCTTCCAAACAGATCCCGGAAGCAGTGCAAACTCAACAGAGGTTCTAAAGCTAGACATACACATAATGATTTTTCTCATTCAGCCCAGTTGGTTAAACCAGAGAAATCCATAGGTTCCCCTATCTACGTAAATAGCATGGATGGACAAACCTCCCACTACTGATTATTGCATTTTGAAAGCTGCCCTCCATGGCTGTCAGCCGACAGTTACTGCAGCTGTTCAGCCAGCTTTTTTTTTTTATTTTTCCAACTTGTGTCCAGAGTTTCATAAAAATGATTCAGTGATTGTAAACAATGGCCTTACTTCTCTATGTTGAAGTTAACTAGTTACATAGGCTGAAAAAAGACTCAAGTCCGTCTAGTTCCACTAATACAAAAATTAATAAAAAAGTTGGATAACTTTATGATGTCTATACTCATTATATGTATCTCAAACCAAACATGCAGAGTATAGGGTGTATTCAGTGAGTGCCACCTTCAGTTTGGACTGACAGCTGTGATCTCTTAAGACATCTTTAAAATCTGTCTGTGACGGAAATCCAGGATAGGAATTTAATGAGGTCTGCCCAGCCCCTTCAGATAAAGGGAAGCAGGCCCATTGCAGGCATGGCACACATGACCTTAGGTTTCCAAAAAGGACTCAGAAAGCAGCTTTGTGTTGTTTCTCTAAAAAGAAAACACCAACTAACTATAAAATACATAGCCAAATACACAAAAAGATCCCAGAACAAAACAATACATGCAATAAAAGTTGCAAAAGGGTTTATTAAAAAGAAGGAAGATGAAATGTAACTCATTTGAAGGTGGAAGAAATGTGATAAGAACATCCACAGCTAACTAGCAAAACATTGCTTGAACTGTGTAGATCTCTTTATTTTGTTGATCCTGAGAGACAGTTCATGATGCCTTTGAGAAAACAAAAAAGGATTTGTCACTGAACTTTACAGCTGAGTGAACCTGAGACAACTTTGTAATTCATATTATCCTTGGTTCAACAGATTGCTCAATGCCAACAAGATAAATTGTCTGCGGGTAGGTGCTTTCCAGGATCTCCACAACCTGAACCTTCTGTCTTTGTATGACAACAAACTTCAAACCATTGCCAAGGGCACATTCGCTCCTCTTCGTGCCATTCAAACTCTGTGAGTATTGCCTTGATGTGGTGGTGGGGGATTAGAAGTATGGGAAATTTGGCAGCACGGGGAAGGGTTTTCTCTATAATCCATCTTTTTTTTGCATTCATAGTAAAAAAAAGAAATAAAAAAAAATAATGCCAGGTCAATCGCGAATAACATATTCAATCATTCTCATTCACTCCTGAAAGGCATTTGGCTCAGAACCCATTTATCTGTGACTGCCATCTGAAGTGGCTGGCGGATTATCTTCATACAAACCCTATTGAGACCAGTGGTGCCCGCTGCACCAGCCCCCGCCGACTGGCAAACAAAAGAATCGGGCAGATCAAAAGCAAGAAATTCCGCTGTTCAGGTAATTTGCTTAGACTACTTTCTAGAATTCATTGCCAAAATAACAGACGCCCTTCACGGCTATACACAGCAGCTGGCCCTCTCCTGAGTTTTCTGAACATCACAGAATCTGTTGTTTCCTATCTTTTCTCCTGATATAGAGGAATAGACGAGGGAAGCCTCATTAGGGCATTTAATAAAGTCTCATAGCAACCAGTCAAAAATCATCTTTTACTGGTTTGACTGCATGGCTTTTCTGAAAACTGAAATCTGGTTGGTTGCTGGCACATAACTAGATCTTTATGTTGTTTATGTTCAAACATGCTGCATTGAGTTCTACCTTCCAACAGCTTTTGGGATGAAGCAATATGCATAACAATGGAGCCTTGCACTGTCATTCTGTGCAAACTAATGAAGCCATCATACTCAAGGCTCAGTGTTTCACAGTTATCCTTCACATCAGTCCCTGTTTTCGACAGATGGTATAATAGGACATGAGATTAGTTTTCAGAAGTTCTTGTTTTGAATTCTATTGTAACAGTTGGTGCTAAATATAATTTGTACAATAATAATAAGGAACAGAGGTTAGATCTATTCAAACATGGGCCTGGTAGTGGCAAGTTTATGTAGATATTTTGGTAGACCCATGGAGGGGCTTTAAAATTGCTATGTAAGATGTTAAAGTGCACCTCTAATCTTTCTGAAAAACATTCTTCTGCAGGTTAGTTATATACATTTTGAAGATTTTAGCAAACTGAATTGCACAGATTTACCTCATCCTCGGTGCTGAGTGAGAGGGTTTGCCTGCTGTAATATACTTATCATTCAAAATATTGTGAAAAGACAAAAAACTGCTGTAAAAAGAAGTGAACCAATCACATCAATAGTAAAAAAACAGAACACATGTCTTCTACCTCCATGGTAGGGTAACCCCTTAAAGCAACTATCTGTCTGAACCCTTTAGTGCCATAGCATATAGTAACCAATCAAATTTCATATTTTACTGAACTGCCTTCATTAGCGTAAAATGTAATTGGTAATATACAGAACATTCTTGCATGTTGTTTTGCTATCTCTAATACAGCAAATTCTTGCATGTTGTTTTGCTATCTTTAATACAGCACATTCTTGCATGTTGTTTTGCTATATTTAATAAGCTCATAAATGTTAGTAGAATTTACAATGTGTACTGCTAGGACCTGATTCATCATTATTAATCCTATTATCTTTGATCTGATTCATCATTATTAATCCTATTATTCTTGATATATATAGTGCCATCATATGCCGTAACAATGGGATGCCCAGTAAACATATGTTAACAATACTAATCATAACAGCATATAAAGGCATATTATTAAACCTAACAATGTAATAAGTAATGGAGAATGATAATGAAAGGTATATTAAATCCAGAAAGGGAATGGCCAGCCATAAGCGCTCAATATATCAAATCATACTTGATTTAAAGAAAGCTTCAACTCAGTTACACACTTACATTTGTATAGAATGAGGCTCTGATGTCTGTTATATCTTTCTATGTGTTAGACTGAATCTGTCATATTGCATACAGGTTTTGTAGGTCTCATGTCTTGCTGCTTCTTCATAATCCAGCTTAAATACTGATTTATTGTCTTTTTTTCACTGTATTAATTTATCATCGATTTGTTATTATATGGCGATTTTACTGATAATTTTATGATTTTAATGAACGAATGAATGAATTAATTACAATTATTTGTTAATTATTAATCTACAAACCCTGCAAGTCACAATGTTACTATGCCAATGTTGTAACAGTTGTACTTTTTGTTATTTAAATTTAGATAGATATGTTGCCTTTAGCAACAAGCAAATGTTCTATATATTTTTTTTTTTTGGTGCAGTTTGAAGAAATTATAAAAGTAGTTGATATGGGCAACAACACAGATCTCTTATTTCTTAATATATTTTCAGTTTTGACTTGCTGCAATTTAGATGCAATTGTTTTTCATTTTTTTCATTTTTGCATGTAGCTAAAGAGCAATATTTCATTCCAGGTAGGTTGTGATTCGAAGACGGGTCATCTCCCTATGATTAGTCATTTCCCAGGAAGTCTTGCATGTGCAGCCAGCATACTTGCCAGTTTCCATTTTAAATTATGTTGAAAAAAAATAAAAAAAAAATCACAAAACTGCTCCTCTGATTTAGCTGCCTTTTCTTCAAACCTTTTTGGAAGATGATATAAAGAAGGCACTGTTGCCTGGAGGGTGGTAGATCATCTTACCTCAACAGCAGTCTTTGGCCTTGTGTAGGAGTGGGTGGGACTTGCAGTACACCTCTAGCTGCAGCAATAGGAGGAGATGCAGTTGTGTATTGTTACAACTTCCAGCATCAGAGAGGGGAATGGCTACAAACAGCTGGAGCAGGAAGAAGATTTTTCACTCTTGGGCTAGGATTGGCCACAAGACTGTAAATCTTCTGAACATCAAAAGTCAGGACTGTTGACAAGTATGCAGTTCAAATGTCTCCTGCCTGCATGCAGCTCCTTGTCTGTTTACTTAGGTCACCTAAAACAAGAACCTTTTATTCCAGAACCTTTAGTATATATTTAATGGTTTTATTATTGTGTGTTATGTGATTGTGTGTGTTTATTGCAAACCAAGGCTAATGGGTAGCACCTTTCTCTTCCTTGAGTGTATTTCAGTACATTGGCCTTCATGTCAACCTTTGTGTCTTTTGTTAGTGAGATTCTTGCATGTCAATGTGTAAAAATCCCTTTTAGCACCAAAGCTTAGTAGCAAAGGTGTGTTACATTGAAATATGTGCTATAAGCCCCTTAGCTCAACATAACAGTAAAAAAAAAAAAAGCTCAGAATCTCTTGTATGTAACTATACCATTCTTCAGATGGGTTTACCGAAGTGGCGCAGCAGACTGACAATGACAGGTTTAATTTCCTGCTGGGCGAGTCCTCTCATGTCCCCGAGCACAAGTATTCCATCCATGTGTATTGCAGACGGGACAGAAAGGCAGGAGTGTGCACTGAATCTTAAATGTCATATTCTTTTCATAAAAGAGACAAATATACGCTTTGTAATTTTAACCACAACATTTACTGCACATGCAGGTCATGCATTATAGATACATCGAAACTGGAAATTGTGTATTCCTAGGACTTCGATTTCTTTTAACTCTATCCATGGCACATGGCAGATAACTAATAACATTTCTGAAAATGTACAGTACTTTCTGTGAAAAAGAAACACTTGCAGCTTGAACATTGCAGTGTTAATTTTTTCACTGCAGCAACCCATAGCACAAGAATCAGTAACTCTTTATTGAAAGTCATTTACTGTTTAAACAGAAACTGTAATCATTTTGAGTCAGTTTTGGTTTGCTATTTATGTATCCACTTACTCTAATATAGCTTTTTATTCTTCAAATAGCATTTTTTTTATTTTATAAATTAGCATTTGATATATGACACTAATGGCAATACGATAATACATATATAAAAAAAAAGGTATAGCAGTAGCTTTTTTTCTTTCAGGCTGTCTTTCTTTAAATAAAACTCTATACAAAGCCCTATAGAGTTGAATGTCTTTGTTATTAAAGGGCAAGTTCACCTTTGGGAACATGTTCCCACTCCTGCAGCTGCTCCTCGATCCCCACACTCCCTGTGACAGCAGGCCAGGGATCTTCTCCCTGTACCTGCTGTCACTATTTGAAAAGAGTGCAGCCATGTGGGGCTCCACCCACACAGCAGCGTCATTCATTCAGAGTTCTGTGAATGAATGAGCTACAAATACCAACAGCCTGTGCAGCTGTCAGCATGAAGTTCTCAATGAACTACCGTACCTGGGCACTTTTGAGCACTCTAGGTAGTTCAATGATTCTTCCTGTCATTGTGTAACTGCATGCACGTATGAGGTATGAGCAGACATATATACTGACAGTCTGCAGGAGCGCTGCATTGCACCCGCGGTCTGCTGATCACAGGTGCAACGCTTTGCCAGCTCCTACGAAAAAAAAATTGTAAATGTACTTTTTCTTACAATTTGCATTTATTATTTTTTTAAAAAAATGAACTTATCCTTTAATCCTAAACATAGTAAATAAAAAAAACACTATACAGTCCCTTTAAGGAATCCCCATGACCTTTACAATAATACATGCGTTAGAATTTAATAAACTAGGAGCTGTGGGTGGGCGCAAAACTCATGGCTCCCAATGACTCCTAATGATCCTAAAGCATAGTGGGCAGTGAGCACAAACTCTTTTTGATGTCTGATTTAACCGATCAGGTAAATTACATGCTGCCGGTGCTGCCAGTTTCATAAATAGAAATAAATATGGTCATAGGTTATATTTAGAGATTGGAGTGGCTGTACCCTGAGAAACGAAAAAAAATATTTTTTCTATTTGCTGTAATTTTACATAAATAAGTCCAGTAGTTGATATATTTATAATGTATGAATGCAGAATATGGGACATTCTAGTTGATGGTTAATGCAAGCTCCAGCTTGTAGTCCCAGAAGAAATATGAGGCTCCATTGCAGACCACAACGAGCAGATGGTGCACTAACATATATTTTATCAGAGCTGGAGCACCATTTTCAATGCCTTTATTGATTTATAAATGCAGTCCATTACAAAGTCAAAAGATAGTGTCACACCTTCTGATAACAGATTGCCTACACTGTAGCTTAAATGGCCATAGTATTTGAAGATCCAACTAATGACACTGTTATGGCCATGTTGGAAGGGGAGACGATCATCACTAAAGTCTACATAATATATAAGAAGTCATTAGATAGTGAACATCAGAAATCTCAATAGAATTAAAGACTTTAGATATGGGTCCCTCCTCAACTATAGTATTGTTAGCAGGATTGAGCCAGTGGGGTTGATTTACTAAGAGCAAATAGGTTGTTCACTTTGCAATGCAGTATTTGCTTAGCTTGGTAATTGTGTTGAAAATTTACTTTGCAAAGAATTCTCAATTATTTGCAAGGGAAATTAAAACAAAAAAACCTGTATTTTTTGTTTGCACATGATTGGATGATGCGAGTCAGCAGAACTTCATCTCATTTGCTAAGCTAAGGGAGAATTTTCAATTGCAAAGTTCACAGCCTATTTCCACTTTGTAATCAAGCCTTATGTGTATAAAATGTGCAGTGTCCACTGATACTTTCAAAGAAGTTCAGGAAATACAGACTTTCACAGTAGTTCAGAACTATGCTGAGGTATCTGTTAACCATTTGGTGGTCAGCAATGATGCAATTGTTCTGCTGCATACTTCTGGCACCCAGATGACTGGTGTTCAGTAGAACCCAAATTCAAAGGGAAATGTTTGATTCCCAGGCTTTTTCTTCAACAAGAGAGGCCTGGAATAACCTGTACATTTGAAATGCATCCAGCTGGCAGGCTTACTAAAGGAGATTGTGTTTTGCCGGACGCTAATTAATTTTTGGAATTGGAGGTCTTCTGTGAGTCAAAATATTGTAAGTGCATTTATTTTCATTAGAAGGTGTGGATCTGACCAGTCAAACAGGTTTTTGAAGGCATGAATACAGATGACTAACATATTTTATAGTTTTAGGAAACTTTTGGCTCTGTGTACAAAAATTGATGGACTTACCTTTTAGTAGTTAGTCATTTAAAGGGGTCCCCCCTTCTGTTGCACATGGTGAGACTAGTTAATGACAGATGCAAAAAAGCATCTTTGTAAAAGTTGACACTAATGGGTATAACATAAATACCTTACAACTCTTAACAACCACTCAAGAACAGTTTTATAGCTTGCTTTCAGAACGTCTTTCTTGGCCAGATTATGGTAGATTTCTACAGCAAGCATCTGACAACTTCCTTTTTAAGGTTCTTATGGTGCTTGCTAACTTGTCCCAGCCATTTTCCATCTGAGGTGTTACAGTCCTAGTAAAGGGATAGGCCAAAGCCTAAGATTGAGCTGCTACCACTGGCTTGAGGTAGCCAGAGTACATGTGTTTAAAATCCAGTAATGTGTGTAAACATTTTACCCTGCACATCCTGTCATTGTAACGACTGTGGATCTGTTGTGTGGAAAATGCGTTTGCCCTCTCTAGCTGTTGTGTTTTACACTAATCAGTTTACCGTGCATTTCCCTCAGTTTAAAGCCAATACACATTGCTTCTCTTCTGTTTACGTCTTGCTTTCTCTCCTCCTTGACCACCTTTACTTTTCAGGCATCCATCACTTGGGTTGTAAGTAATAAATCTTTCTCTTAGCATAAAATATTCTCTGATCCTAATGTGCCCTTTTTTTCAGCCCAACATGTTATATTCTTCTAAAGAAACCAAATGACTGTGGGTTTTGCAAAACATTCTCTCTATTAACTCAACACTTTTTTTCTTAAAGAGGAACTCCAGTTAAGGCAAACAAAACCTAAATTAGGAAAAGTGGACTTTACAATGGGCATTCATATTGTGCTGGTAATGTATCACTTTTCTGCCATGTGCTTGTTGTAACATATTTATCATAATATTGAAAAATAAAAGGAAAGAAGAACTGATAAGGATTCCAACCAACTCTCCCTTAAAGGGCATACCTTATCCCAAATAAACATAAAGCCAAAAACTGTTTAGAATAAATTGGACTTAAGTAGTTATAATTTGGCTAAAGGTAGTCTACATAAATTGAGCTTAAGTTATACATTGGATATAAGTAGTCTACATAACCGGAAAATGTTACAAATACACAGTAAAAAAAATATTGTTTTTCAAATAAAGGTAACAAACACCCAAAAAGTGCTACCCAGAAAGTGATATATACAGTAAAACATTGTCAAGTACCCATTATAGGACTTGTAACAATATCTCCTGTAGTAACAAGGACATTGTTATACATGCAAAATAAATACACATTTACAGATGTACAACAGATGTATTAGACTCGAGATCCCTTAATGCATTTTGTGGACAATTCCGCTGCTTGAGGTGGAATATCAGAGTGTTCATTTATCACATTTTGAAGTATTTAATCAAAAGCTGCAAGCCCTGTGTGTGCATTCCCACTGCGTAATTGAAGTTGAAGGGAGACCCCAGGAGAGGGTGAGTATCCAGGAACACCTAGCATAGCTTTACTGGTAGCCAATAGAAACCTTGGTGCCAAAGATGTCTCAACATTCATATCATAATTGCATAATATCGAATAGATGAAGAACACCAAGACTGGTTAGGACCACACATATAGTGTCTAAGCTCCCCCACCCCCCAAAATAAAATACATTTGCATACAGTGTGCGTGTGTGTGTATATATATACATATATCTTGTTAGCACTTACATTTCTCATAGAAATACCCATGTGAATAGTGGTTATATTTTCCCATGTAACAAGTAAAGGTTTAATAAAGCCATTGAATAAACAGCAATCAAACAGGGACCCACCCGTATAGATCACTCCTCCATTAACCTCCTCCTTTGGTTTCAAAGAGAATAAATAAACATATCTGTATCTCTATAATGTGAGGCAGAACAGTTAATATCCTTCTTGAACACCTGCTGTGATAAAATCAGAAACAAAACACTCTGCACAGTGGACAGTAGTAACCAGCTAGAAAGAAACTTCTGAATGCTTACAAGGGTCAATAAACTTGAATACCCTTGGAATGGTTTCTTACTGATACCCCCCCTATCTTCCCGTTAATCTACTATTGGAAATATGTACTGTATAGGATGAACTAACATGGGAGCAGTCAATCACAACAATGGTTATTTAAGAAACAAATTTAGTAGTCTTTCTCAAATATTCAGTTCAGTATACTTTTGAAGAATATGGGTGTAAAATATTAACTATTATTAATACTTTTATCTGTAGAAAGCAGATTACATTCGTATATCTACACACATGGGTAAGATAAAATAAATCGGTATGTAGAAGGATCATGTGTGGGAGAGGATGGTATTTTCTGCAGGGCCCTCTCCACACAGACTTTTGTGAGTTAGACAGGTCTTGGAAGGCATGCAATGGATCTAGAACTAAGAGCAGACTGAGTAAAATTGTATTAACACAGCATAGGTATTACAGAATTAACCCTATCCATGTTCTTTGGAACAGTAGGAAGTTTGCCTTGACTGGAGTTCTCTCTATTCACAATTTTCACCTCCCCTACCAAATTTATGAAATAGTACTTCATCATCAACCTGCAAAGAAAAATTATGCAGCTTATATCAAAATTTCTTGACTCCAATCCTTATAACCCTCAATCGATCATCTATGTTTTGAGGATTTCTTTAAAAAGAATCTGGTTACACACCATCATCTCTGCACCTCTCCTATGTGGACCTTGTCTCAGATCCCTCAGATGGAACCTGCAAATATCAAACTCACTGGCTACACATCTTTACTATGGATAACATCACTGCAATTAATCTATTATGCCTGTGATTTGTTGGTTGGCAGCGTTCATCAGAAGCATCTGAGACAGGTACTTTTTATGACCAGATGTCACTGGATGAGTGCTTACTACAGCTAAGGGAAATTCTCAAAATATGACCTGCTTGGGGGTATGTGAGGACTGGGAAAAGGAAATACTGCTTCTACATGGCCTACGCAGTGGAAGTGGAATTTTAACAGAGAATCCTTGTATATTTCCATATCTATGTCTGATGTCGTTGTTGTGGAAACCGAAGAAAGATTTAAAAAAAAAAGGCCTTGTGTTTTCTCCTTCTCTCCATTTTCTTGTATGTTTCTCTGTGCTGTTGCCTAATTTGCCTGTTAATACTGTTGCTATGGCAGTGCGCATTCTGTAACCTGAATGACCTGCTGCACACAGGTATTACACTCCAGCAGATTCTCCAGCGACCACCTCTTTCCTTCCTTTTTCTTTCCCCTCCCCCTTTGGTCCTATCTATGGTGTAATGGATGCACTTATGGTAACCCAGCGAGATGTTCTGTTGTGCTTGATCTAACCATGTGGTTGTCAGGTATGAGTAAAACATGGTTCTGTCAAGCACCATGGAACGTCACGCAGCTTTCTACAGCATGGCAAGCTGCTGAGGCTTGTGCACCTAGGATGTATACCCAGCCTCGCTGTCGGCGGAGGGCTTGACCGCCCTGTATTGGCAACCCTTCCATCTGCAACAAGGCTGAGAAAAGGAAAGTCAAATTAACCCATTACGATCTGGAAGTAGCTATAACAGAGCAGCCCCCGCTCAGATAATATCATCAGTGTTTTAATTGTGCTAGTGCATTATGACTAATAAAAAGTTGATTAATTGATGATGCTTGTGATAATTTAAAGGACAGCTCCAGCTATCCCCCATTGTTTTTTACAGAGAACAATTATTTATTACCTGTCTTGTCTTATTATGCATGTATAGACTCTTGAACTCTCCATTGTGTCCATTGCTTAGTAGTCAAATATTGGCAGTAACAGTATTAGTATTGTCTGCCTTAAGTAATTATCAGCTGTCGGTGAAATGTTTTTAGAAAAACAATACTGTCCTCATTTATAAATGCAAGGGAACATATGATCCAGGCAGTCTGTTGTCTACATCAATTGGCCCCATGTTTTTTGTTCTCTGCAGTAAGGTATATGAGAAAGAGAGGGAGAATCTGATTGATTTCTGTAGGCAACAATTTATATATTAGACACTCTTTTTGCTGGGATCCATTTTGTCTGTTTCATTTTTAACTGTAAATCAACAACATGGCACCAGCAGACTTTGATTATTTTTCACAGGACACAATGGATACTTTGAAAGCCTGTATACACATAATGAAGCAAGATAGTTGAACTTTAATTGTTACCTAGCTGCATTAATACAATAAGACGTGTTTCTAATAGGTATAAATGTAAAATTAAACCTCACACTAATATTTGACAATAGAGACTCCTTGATATGTTATAAGTCATACCTGAGCCACTGACCTGGACCAGCAGAAAGTACAGCTGTGAAAAGCTTGGATAACATACGTGTCCCTGTCATGTCTACCCAGTAATGTTCTATTTTTCCAGTTCCTCTGAAGCCTATGTACAGATCCGTTTGTATGTGCTCAAGCCACCTGTCTGTCTCTAGAGCATGAAAATGACAAATGACTTTTTGTCCCTATACCATTCTTGTGCCTTGTACAGAATTTCACTGACAGTGATGTTTGCTAATGCCACAAACTTTTTGTGTGACTTGTGTCTGTTAACATGTTCCACAGGTACAGAAGACTACAGGTCCAAACTAAGTGGAGACTGCTTTGCTGACCTGGCTTGTCCAGAGAAGTGTCGCTGTGAAGGAACCACTGTAGACTGTTCAAACCAGAAGCTCACTAAAATCCCAGATCACATTCCACAATACACAGCTGAGCTGTAAGTATAAACCACTATGCACTCTTGGGCTTTGTGTACTTCTATATACTACCGATCAGTACATTATTGATTCATTATATTATGGAGCTGTAACTGCTCATACCTAAAACTGGCCATAAATGATAAGATCTGTAGTAGCAAATGATTAGACCCTCAGAAGAATCTTCCTCCACCAGGCATACCAGACTTGCTCATTACTTTTGTGATAGCTTTATTAAAAGAATAAAAACAGAAGTATACGTACAAACAGCATGAATAAACAAGTGCATCAGTATCCACAGTGTTCTGGACCGCTAGGTCAACCGAACAAGTCCTAACCACTGGAAGACCCTGTGAATGGCTGATGCGTTTTGAGGGGAGATCTCCTCTTCCTCAGAGCCTTTTTTTTTAAGCTATAACAAAGGTAATACACAAGGCTTATGTGCCCTCTGTTTTTATTTTATGGTGTGACTTTTGAGCATCCCAAGCCCTGAGGGGGCTGCAATGCTTTGCCAATAGTGAAGTAGCTGAAGGACTGTGTTTAGTCATTGCCGGTGCATCTCTCTTGAGCCCAGGAGGTTTTTCTTCTGTTACACATCTCCACTATTTAGTTATTGAGGCAATTTCACAATTATCGCGTGAGGCAATGATGTGGAGCACTGGTCTATCCCTGTTTATTTCCAATTGGTCATCAAAAAATTAACAATAATTTGAACTCAACTGTTCCAACCCAGCATATCCTGTTTGGTGTGATTCCAGTCTCCCAGGTCCAACAACACAATTGTTTGAAATTCTCATGGCATGCTTTAACAAATTAAATAAAACATGTAACTCTCGACATGTTTTTGAGTATTCAGCACAAGTGCCAGTCCCTATTCACACATTTTCAGTGCAACAGTTTGGTGTGTTACCTATGCTGCTGTGTGTAATCTCCTTCATAATTTCCAGTACATAAAACATTATGTAGATAACATACGTAAGAGAAATTTGTACAACTCGGGAGCTAGTTACATTAGTAACTTTCTTACAGTCACTTGCCTGAATGATTCTTGCAGTGGGATGAAAGTTCTGCTGAATAAATATCTTTGTTGATGAACAGCTCAAAATTTTATACATAAATAGGAACACATCAGACTCCAACTTGTACTAGTATAACTTTGTCAAAGTAATTTCTGGTTATATTGGGTTTGTTAGCTGAGAACTGGTACCAAAGAATAAGACTTTTGTTTTTCTATGAACTTTGAGTTAGAGAAGACTCTTAGCAGTGTACGTTTTTTGATACCTAGGTGGTAAAAGGGGTGATAAAATAGGAAAAATCTGGGGAAAGAATGGTTGACTTACTGTAGAATATCAAAACATGCAGTCCCATCTAGTAGTAGTTGGGAACTAGAAAACATGTTGAGCAATATATGTATATTGAAGTATATGTCTAAGTAATAGCTATAAACACCTGCTTTGATTTTTACCTTTAAAGGGCTGAGGCTGTTTTGTTTCATGTCATAAATGTGAATAATGAACTGGTTACATTTGTACAACAGTAAACATCAGTTTGTAACCAAAAGATAACAAAATTTGTTCCTCATTTATTTTGGCCATGATTTTGTATATTTGTTCTGTTTTCCATTTAGGCGTCTCAACAATAATGAGTTTACAGTTATAGAAGCAACTGGAATCTTTAAGAAACTCCCACAGCTGCGGAAAATGTAGGTCTTTTGTAGTTTTCTTGCCAAAGCTCTTCTGTATTACATACTGTGTGTTTAATCCCAGAGAGACAGATGGGGCATAGTTAAAGTAGTAGTGCTGTCAAGACATTAGCATACATTTACTAAAACTTGAGCACTTAGAATGTGGTGCAGCTGTGCATGGTAGCCAATCAGCTTCAGGAAAGAGAGGACAAACGCCAACTAAGTATAGCAGTTAAAAAGTGATAAAAGAAAATAGTGATAAAAGAAATGCACTCACAAAAGGAGTAGAAATCAAGCATGTAGCACTACAAGTAACAATCCTCACAAGCACAAGTCCCGGTCCTGGTCCGTCTGATGCTATGAGACTGCGGTCCAGCCAATCAGTAGCGCCAGAGCTTCCCAGGGCTTCCTGATTCTTGTGGAACGCTGGGTCAGGAGGATTTGACTTCATGACTGGACAGAGGAATGTGGCAATGTATTTGCGGAGCATGCACTGCTTCTTCAGACCATGCAGACTCCATGTTAAATGTGGTATTTATAGGTAGTTGTATGGTCGTCCAGCAGACACAAAGTACAGCAGCTGCAAACACATAAAAATCAAAGACCGGCACAAGACACATTGGGCATATAAAAGATGGTAGGGGGTACAATAAAATATATAACTATTGGAAACAATTCTATGGACATTTATTTATTTCAGGTACTTATATAGCGCCGTCAATTTACGCAGCGCTTTACATTTATATATATATTGTACATTCACATCAGTCCCTAACCCTCAAGGGGAGTACAATCTAAGGTCCCCAACTTACATTCATACATACACATACTATGGACAATTTAGACCGGATCCAATTAACCTATCTGCATGTCTTTGGTGTGTGGAAGGAAACCGGAGTACCCGGAGAAAACCCACGCAGGCACAGGGAGAACATGCAAACTCCAAGCAGGTGGTGCCGTGGTTGGGATTCAAACCAATGACCCTAGTACTGCCAGGCGGAAGTGCTAACCACTAAGCCACTGTGCCGCCCCAGTTGCAGTTAAAAGCATATAAATAAGACAATCAAACAAGATATAGACTACACTTTGGCTAAAATGCATATGCAAAGTTATATATTCAGATGTATTAACATCTAAAAAACAGATAAGTAACAAATATATACAGGGCCACCAAAGAACACATCCTAAAAAGATCAGATTCTTAATACGGGTGTACTTACATGTCGGAAATATTGCTAAAGACCTTAAGGGTTCCTTATCATGTAAAATGTACACCTAAATGAAGAAATATATATGCAAAAAATTAAATTTATCTGTGTATTTGTGTACACAAAAATCTCTAAATGTATGTATAAGGATACATGGATGGAAGAAACTGTATTATACACTATACAGAAAGGAATTAAAAACATCTAATGTCAGCTTGTTTAGTTAAGCTTTGGCAATAAAACCTGGAAGATGATTAGTTTCTATGCAGAGCTGTACCAGTTTTATTAAATAAACCCCATTGTCAACAGTTAATGTGTAAGTGCTCATGCACACTGGACATTTTTACAGATGCTGTCTTTGGCTTTTGACATTTTTTCTGCAGCCAGCATGATATCCTATGTGTCCATGTATACATAGACTGTAATCAACGTTTTTTGGCAGGGGCATTTTTTGGCTGGAAAAAAAACCCCAGAACTAGTGGGTTTCTAGAGGAGTTTTTTTTAGCTGTAAAAATGCTCTAATGCTGAAAAACGCGTCAAAATGCGGTAAATCGTGGCAAACCAGCATTTTTAAGACCTTTTGTTGACAAAAATATATATTTTTTTTGGTCAAATATAAAACTCTAAAAACCAAGGACGTGGAAAAACATGGCAAAACGCCACTAAGTGCTAATCCAAAAATGCTAAAAAAAACTCAGAAAAACTCAGCTTCACACAGCTAATGTTACCAGTTTTTTTTAAAACGCCCTGTGTGCATGGAGCCTAAAGGCCAGGCATAGGCAGCATAGTTCTCCTGCTGTTCAGTTCTCCTGCTGTTCTATAATGTGTCATTAACACATTAGTAGTTCCAAAGGAGTTTTAGTGCCTTTCACCTCATCTCACCCCCACTTCATTCAAAAATTCCCAGTTTAAAAAAGTTACATTTATTAGTAGAATGGTTTGATTTCTTATTCATAGCATCTCTGGTCTGCAAGTACAGCTAGGAAGAAATTTCCCCTTCCTATTTCTCCCTTTTTTTTTTCCTTCTCCACCCCCCACCCCCTTTGCTTATTTTCCTTTCTGCCTTGCTTCCTTTGTTCCTTTATTTTCTACCTTCTTTGTTTGCTCACTTTCTGTCTACCTTCCTTTCTTCATTCATGCTCATTTCCTTCCGTTTTTGCTTCATTCATCCCTCCATGCTCTTTTTTTTTTTTTTTGCTACCTCCCACCATCTCTTCTTTTTTTCCTTCTCTTCTTCTTTTTTTCCTCTCTTCATTCCTCTTTTCTCTTTCTTTCTCCCCATCCCCATTTCCTTCTTTCCATTGCTCCCTACATCTCTCCTTTCTTTGCTTCCTCCCTTCCTCTTCCTCCTTTCTCTTTCTCATTTCTCTATGTGCCCTCCTTTCCGCTTCCTACTTCTTGTACTCCCTGCCTTCCATCTTGCTTTTTCTTCTTCTAATACAAAGACTCTTGAATTATATTTACAATGAAGTAAAAGCTATATAATGAAGCACAGTAAAGAGAAAAGAAAATTGAAAGATTTCAATCAAATTTATCTTCTTTCACGCATAAAAAGCATCACACAAGCTTTGGAAAGATAGCTGCTTTTGCAATGTTTAACTTGGCTTTTACCAGCAAGGCACAAGGTTGTAAAGATAGATTGTGTTTATTTTCTCCACTTCTAGAAGATGAAAAGTGCATGCCTAGTTTCTAGGCCATTACCTAAGCTCTAAAGAAAGAAAATTCAGAGATTCTCACATATTTCATTTATTTTACACTGTACAAATTCATCATTATCATTAGTCATGTTGACTTTTCTGAGCTTCTTGTTTTCTTTGATAACTTTTGTGTCAAGATGGTTGCAGGCAGTTCAGGTCGGTGGGTTCCGTGAGTTTACAAAACAAGATGTTTCAAACACTTCACGTACTTTCAAAGTGCTAAAACATTATGCACATTCACAAAAAGATGTGTCCATGCACATCATTGCCTATGACAGTGGAGCTTGCAGCCTAATGTCTTTTTAATAGCTTCTCAGATGTACACAACATTTCCAGGCCAATTTTGCCACTATAAGGTTGAGAAGCACTGTGAGAAAATCTGCTCAAAAAACAATAAAAATTTGCAAACTCCACGTTTGGACATGAAGCTAGGATATCAGCTCTGCAAGACAACATCCAGGCTTTGAATGACAATTGGGCACATTTGGCTCTTACCAGGAGGGCTGCTGTATTTCAGACTCGTGTAGGTTGGTGAGCATTCAGCTTTATTTTAATCAAATAATATATACAGCCTTTAGTTTACTGGTTCTTTAATACCATAGAGAGTCAGTGGGGTCAGTATGTAAAAGCTAAAGTGCTATGATGGGTTTAGGATACTTTTCTCAAATAAATATGGCCTGGTATGCTGTGCTTGCCAGGGAAAAATGTTATTGCCAGTCTCAAACTTAGTGATGTGCATCCATCATAATACTTATCCCCACATTTTTTAATGTGCATAGTATGGTTTTGGTTGTGCTTGCTAAATGTACATTTCATTAAACAGCTAGCTGAACAGTTTTTATATCTGCAGCACTATAGGTGAGCTTACAAAAGCCTATTTTTATGCAGAAACTTCAACAAATGCTCTGTGTTTTTAATACTTCTTCCCTGGATTGATAAACAAATGCAATGAATACAAAGGCCATCCCACACTTGTGTAGCTCCATGTTGCTTCCTGTCTATCTTTGAATTGGTCTTCCAGTAAAGGAAGTGAATGGGCTTGCAATGTTAAGTGTAGATGCTGCAGCAAATGGCACCTCAATGGCCCATTAGGCACTAGTGTGTGCAGTTGTTTAGTTTAGTATTCCCTTTCTGACCAGACATGTGGCAATTAGAAGAGGTTAAGAAATCTCACCCCTGCCAATCTTGTAATGTAGGCAAACTGCCAGATAGTGTGGCCTGGTCTATAGTTGCCAATGCAGTAGCAGTGCAGCTTTCTTAAACTACAATGCCAAGCCAGAAAGTGGTGCGTGTTTGTGCTGCCCCTGCTCTCTCTCATCAGCATGTTCACTTTCAGCGCATTTGCCTGCAGCATAGCCTGACTGCCTCTTAGTGCAACCTTGCTTCTAACAGTCTGAGTGCCGCTGTATACTGCATTACACTAGGATGACACAAAGACAGATTCAAGTAAAGTTAATAAGAGTAGTTGCATTTTAAAATAAATGTGATATTTTTAATAAATGCCCAACTACATTCATTGTTGTTTTTTTATATATCTTTGAACTTCATCGTTAATGGAAGTATAATTAGGTATAAAATGACCCAGCTGAAATGACTGCATTAAATGAGGTAGATGAATAGAAGGTCAGAAGATAGGTTGGTCAACTTCACTTCTAGGACTACATACTGTATCCTTATTAAACTTTGGTATTGCCAAAACTGTGCATAGTACACATCTAAGCAAACACAAAATTTCCCAACCATCACAGAACTCCCTCAGCTGACAGGGAGGATCAAAGTTATGTACACTTACATATTATGTTCGCCAACAAAGGTTATTTAATTTACATCATAATCTTCCAAGTGTTTCCACTTTCTCATGCTGGCATTGTATTAAGTGTATTTTTCTATGCTCTTGCATTTTGTGTTATTTTTAGAAACCTAAGCAATAACAAGATTACTGATATTGAAGAAGGGGCCTTTGAGGGAGCCAATGGAGTGAATGAGCTCATCTTGACAAGCAACCGAATAGAGAATGTTCACCATAAAATGTTTAAAGGCCTGGATGGACTAAAATCTCTGTACGTATTTTCATATATAATTCTGGGTTCCATTAAAGTAACTAATAAGAACCTGCTGAAAAATGGGTATGGCATATTCATATTTTTTAAGGAGTCCTTTGAAAAATCTCATCTGCTACAGATAAGGATAATCAATGTTTTAAATATTATGGAATCAACATCTCTGCTATGTAGGATTGATCTCACTTGCACTTTGAATTTCAGCATTGTTAATGAAAATCCTTGTGAAGGCCAACATGGGTTATCTTGTTTACATGCTGATCCTTTTAATTCAGCTTAGTCAACCATTTTTTTGCAGATGTACTTATAGGAATATAAATTTAAAATCTCCTCTTTCATCAACCATGATCAGTGATCTGTATTGCTGCAATTTTTACATTAAACTAGGCCAAGAAGTCCTCACCTCTTCCCAGATAGTCAGGCATGACCAATCAGAAGCTAGTAGAAGCAAAAATAGTCTGTGTGATCATCAAGTTGTTCATTCTGTATCTATTAATATACAGAATATACAATATGTAAGAAATGTAAAATGAGGATCTATAAGTTCAAAATGACTTGCTCCTCCTTAGTGATTCAGAAAGTACTGAAACCAGTGGGATAGAATAACAGCCAGGCAAGTAGAATTTTCAGCAGGAGGTGAGCAGTGGTGGCACCATGGCAGGCTTATTTCTTCTTGAGGCATACATTTTCAGATATACTTATGCATACATACTGTCTGTTTATGTGAGCTTCATTTTTAGCAGTATAGGAAAACGGCACATAATAAAAACCGTTATATGTACTGTGCATCCAGTTGGGAAATCTTCACATAAAAGGAGCTAATGCCAGGGCTGGTGTAGTTACACTGCAGGGTGTTGTCTTGAAGATTTATCAGTGGCTGTGGTGTAAATGATTGAGTCCAGGCACCTTGGGTATATCCTAGGTAGGATCAATTTTAAATTTTGCTCTACGGCCTGTGCATAACACTGTGCATATAACAAAGCTGAACCTTTTTTTATTTCCTCTTTTGCAGGATGCTGAGAAGTAATCACATTAGCTGTGTGAATAATGACAGTTTCACTGGCCTGAGCTCTGTGCGATTACTTTCTCTGTATGACAATCAGATTGTCACAGTTGCCCCTGGAGCATTCGACACGTTGCATTCCCTGTCTACACTGTAAGTAATGCCTTAAAGTACAGAATGTTCATACCATTATGTGATCTTCTTCTGAATAACTATCTTCTTATCACTGGAATTATATAGGATAACCCAACAGCCATGCTTGGAGGCCCCTGCTGTACTAAGTAGGGGTTTTGCTGAGCCTTTAACCTGTTCATTGCAAAATGTAGACCTCTAGCCGTGCTATTTGTCATATTGATGGTAAATTGAGGTGTGTAAAGTGCAGCAACCCATGGAAACCAATCAGATTTGTTTAAATATTCAATCAAACTGTTATAAAATGTAACCTTGATAAACAGAGTTATGGTCAAAGTCCTGTAGTTGTCCATAAGTGCCTTGCTATCAACTGCCAATCTTCAGACATTGAAGGATATAAATGGATAAATACTACAATCAGAATATGACTTGTTAACAAAAAGACAGTTATCCAACGTGGATCATATAATATCAGTAAGGTTTTTGTGCATGACATAGGAAATAGGCAATTTTATTCATTTTAACTCCAGGAAGAGTTAGTTTCTTAGCACAGCCTGCTCACTTTTTGTATGCCATAGCTGTCTCCTCCTATGTGAGGGTCCGATTATTCTCAAGTTACTCTAAACCTCATCTCTCTACATAACCAATAACCGTACTCTGGTTTCCTTCCACACTACAAAGACATGCTGATAGGTTAATTGGATCTTGTCTGAATTGGCCCTAGTATGCATGTAAGTTAGGAACCTTAGATTGTAAGCTTCTTGGGGGCAGGGACTGATGTGAATATATGAGATATATATATATAAAGAGCTATTTAAATTGACAACGCTGTCATAAATAAAATAAATAACCTTTTTATGTAACTGCTAGTGTGCAGCGAAGATGAATACTAGAGTGACAGCTCTGAGTGGGCTGGGACTGTTTATATCACATCCAAGATGGCACCCAGCAGCAGTCTCAGGGCTTATAGATGTCAACACAAAGTTTTTAAGGGTAAATAAAATAAATAAAACACACATATAATTATGTTGTTGAAATGAATGGTCTAAGAACAGGACTTTTTAAGAATTAAGTGCATTTGTGACAGATCAAAAGGTATTTTTTTTGTCCTTACAGGGTCTTTAAAAGAGAAGCATGGCCTAACTTTTTTGCCATATTTGTGGGTCACAGGAGTGCACTTATGTTTTCTCTCTTGTAACCCAGATTCAGCTCATAGCAGGTTATTGCCCACTATCAGCTGATATAGCAGAGCCGCTCCAGGCTCGAGAGAGATCCTGACAATATTGTTGGGATCCACCTGGCTGTCTGAGAGCTGGCTCTGCATCTCAGAGTGAAGCTGAAAGCCAAAGCACCTGTGGCCTTTACTGTCCAGTGGAGTGACTGACAGTAGTCGTGTAATCGCTAAGTTCTCAGTTTTAAAGCCAACGTGGGACAGCTGCTCCAGCTGAGCGTAAGAAAAATAAAATATAAATAAAACTGAGATAAGTATAGAAAAGGTTAAGATCCTTGAGACCTCTTCCTTAATTCTAAAAATAACACAAAAATGTGAATAAATGTTTACCAATTTGGATGTTATGAATAAATGTTATGTCTTCAGGTACTCTAAAAGTGAAGACAATGTATATCCCATTGGTCATGCAATAAAAATTCTTTAGGAAGTAAAAGGCTGAGGATGGAATGAGCAATAAAAACCTGAGAATAGTTCTAACCCTTCTCTGGACTCCCACTTTAAGATTTTTGTGGAATTGGTGTGATGAAGAGTGTTTCAGGCTGCAAAATACGCTCTTTTGCAGCATGCATTAGGTGACAGGTACACTTAAAGACAGAATGGATTGTCATTATGTTAAATTCCCAGCTATTTCTGTGGGTCACAAGGACCAATAAGACTCTTACTTCTTCATGTATATGAAATGTGACACTATACACCTAGCCATTAATTTCCGAGAATGAAAGATGGCATGTTTATGAAGGGCAGGATTGTCAGTAGAGAAGGAATGAAGTGCTAAGATGCCAGGGTTACAGGGGATTGCGAGAGAATTCATTTCTATAACTGGCATGTAATCAAGTCTGCTGTCAGTTTGAATTGGAAAACTGCTCCATGACGCTGCAGACGAGATGGAAATCTCAAGTAGACAAATTAATGAAATTGCGCTTGTCAGTTAAAATCCAATAACAAAAAAGTAATCTGCTTTCATTCCTCTATCAGGTGGCTGCTTTGTGTGAGAGGTGTGGTTTAGCAGAGAGTCAGATTGGGTACAAACTGAAATAACCTGTTAAATGAGCTGAATAGGGATTCATGACAATCTGATGGCGCTGCTAGCTCGTGTGAATCACTGAAAGGATATCCAGAGCTTGGCTCTGAGTAACAAAGGTTCACTGCTGGCTTAGCTCAATATATTCCAAAAAGTGACAGTTCATAGATGTGCCAAGATTATTTGCATGCATTTTTTATTTAACTCTTTATGCACTAGACGGCAAGAGGTATATACATTTTCTTACATGCATATCAGGAGAGTTGATTTAATAAAATAACTGTTCCCTTCTTGCACTGTTCATTAGGAAAAGTAAATTCTAAGTGAATATTTGCTAAGCTTAGTAAATAAGATCAAGCTGTGTTCACTTCAATTGTCCAATTATGTGCCAGCAAATGTTCTGTTTTTTTTGTTTTGTTTTTTTGTCCATGTGTATTAAATAACTAGGGGTCTCCAAACTTTCTAAACAAAGGGCCAGATTACTGTCTTTCAAACATTAGAGGGCTGAGATGTGGCCAGTGGAATTAGAAAATGCCCTAGCATCAGTGGCAGTAAACAAATGACATAGCACCTGTGGTCAGTATGAGGAGGAATTGTCATTGGTCTTATTGCCATGTGTTATCGTTGTTGTCAGTGGGAGGAATAGTATCCCGTCGTTGGTGCTAGTGGAAGGAGGGCACCATCGTAGGTGTAAGTGGAAGGAATAGAGCTCCATAGTTGATGTCACTGGATGCATTAGTGCTCCATTGTTGGTGTTAGTGGGAAGAATAGTGTCCCGTTGTTGCTATCAGTGGAAGGAATGATGCCTCATCACTGGTGTCAGTTGAAAGTATAGTGCCTCGTAGTAGTGGAAGGAATAGTGCCCCAAGGGCTGGGTAAATGCAAGCAAAATGCTGCAGTTTGGAGACCACTGGGATAAACAAAGCAAACACAACTTCACTTAATTTACTGAGCTTACACTTTGCTAAGTGTACAGCCCCATAACACAGAAAATTACAATGACTGAAGTTATAATTATAAAGTAAAAGCATTTTAATCTCCTATGCACTTTCATAAACAAGGAAGACAAGAGCAGTGATTAAATACTTTTCAGAATAGCACTTGGTAGCTACACAATGAAGAGTCCCGACAAAGTATTGAAAGGCAAAGAAGTTACACTCAAAACGAAGATCATGCTCGTCCATGCACTAATTTTCTCTGTTGTCAATTATGATTGTGAAAGCTGGACACTAAGGAAACAGGATACAAAGAAGATTGGCCCATGTGAGCTTTGGTGCTGGAGAAAAACGTTATGTGCCCTGGATAGCCGTAGAACTAACAGATCAATTTTGGAAGAGATCAAACCGGTTATGTCACTAGAATCCCTAACGATGCAGTTATGACTGTCCTAATTTGGTCACGCTGTCTTCTGAGAGAGATCACTGGAGAAGGAAATAATGTGGGAGGATTGAAGGAACCAGGCGAAGAGGGAGACTGGCCACTGGATGGTTGACTACAGCTGTGGGAATGACACTGGAGGATCTCACCAGACTAACATAAAATCAACTTATTTTTGGATCTCTCATTCATCAAGTCACTAGGACTCAGACCTGAGTTGATGGCACTTAACTAACTACAACCTCTACTCATTTAGTAAATCAATATAACTTTAATTACTCCAAATGGTGCCTGTCTAATTGGCCCTCAGTATGTGTATGTATGTATGTATGTAAGATAGGGACCTTAGATTGTAAGCTTCTTGAAGACAATGACTGATGTGAATATACAGTACATAAAGCACTGCATAAAAATGTTAGTGCTATACAACTACCTAAAATAGTGACTTTTATACAGGCACTCCAGTGGCATCCTGGAACTGAAATATAGGCAATTTTCGGCTGTGCTTGCTGCGCCGCCAAGATAGCCTAATATTAATATCTATATATAAAACAGCAGACAATAGGCTTAATTCACAAAGTTAACAGACCAGGATAAGTGGACTTATTTTTAATAAAAATGAGTCCGATGAGATTTGAAAATTACAAGCACATGGCTATTTAGACAGCCTTATCCTTGTGATAAAGCATGGTGGATGGAGCATTATGAAACGATGCACATACCAACATTCTGAGATAATAACAGACACCCCCAATACACCTATATTTATATAGACCATGAATAATTCATGAACAGGAGACACATTTTGTATATTTGCAGATGCCTACAAAATTCAACATTACCAAAATAAATCACAAAATACTGATAATTTTTTTACAACTTTATACTGACATTCATACTATACTTTATGCTCGCAGTTAAAAATATGCAATAATTTAGAGGCTGGGTGTTAAATTTAGAAATCATAAACATTTTTATTAGTTAAATAATTCCATATAGATAGATATATATACAGGCATAAAAGAGAGACAACTCTGAAATGAAGAGGAACAGAAGGATCTGGTCCCAAACACAAACAAGGACTGAGCCTACCCATATTCCCCTGAATGCTGGGGCTGCCTGTAGACACCTTAAGGTAGATAGAAATTTCACTGGCTTCTAAAGGTTACACCACTATTTTCCTTTTTGCTATTAGCCGAAAATACTGGAGCATCTGTTTGGCAATATAAACCATTTTGTTTATTTTGTATATTTTTTAATTTTATAAAGGACGGAGGGTCTTTGTTCATGGGGATTTGTCTTTATTCCTACAGCTGGAAACTATAAATATATAATAAAAAGTTTAAACCTGCATGAATCAAACTAAATTAACCCATCTAAGACATTTTAATGTTTATGTAATGCAGAGCTCCTTGCAAATTTGTCCAAAAAATGTGTAGTAATGATGATCATCACTATTACTGTGAACATCATTATCATTCTTTAAAAAAAGTATCTTTGTCATCAACTGATACAGTCCAGACTTATTTAGAGAATATAATACAGCTGGCGGTCAAAATAAAGATCTGAACCATTGGAATCTAGATCTGTGGTATGTAGAACTGGTTTTAAAAAAAATGTAAGAAATACGAGATTTCAAATAGTTGCTTTAAAATAGATGGAACACAATTTATCTATTTTTCCAGATAATCACAAAAATCTCTCTGAATCTTTAACATTCATTTTATTTCAATAGCCAGGTTTAATATTTTTTCATCTACAATTCTCATTTAAATAATAATTGCCATTATTGCCATGAAGGCCCTTGTACAGGAACTCCCTTAAGTAGGGTGACAACACTATAAGCAGCATGCTTAAATTATGCCACCACTGGGAGCCAAAGCAATGATGTGGCAGTTGCCGCTGGAGAGTACAGCTCTTGTAAAGTATTTTGGATGAGATCAACAACACAGAGAAGAAAAGATGAAAAAAAATTAAAATAGTATATTCTAAAAGACAGCTGTGTATGATACACAGCGCTTAGCAAATTAAATGTTATGCAGGGTTTTACGTCTGCTTTAAGTATAAAGTCTTCTCTATTGCATATTTGCTGTTGCATGTGGATTGGATGTAAATTGTCATTGTCTATTAAAGGAACCTTCTGGGAAACCCTTTCAACTGTAACTGTCACCTGGCCTGGCTTGGAAACTGGCTTAGGAAGAAACGAATTGTAACTGGAAATCCAAGATGCCAAAAGCCATACTTCCTGAAGGAGATTCCCATACAAGATGTTGCAATACAGGACTTTACCTGTGATGAGGGTAAGAAATCAACAGTTTATTGTATCGGATCATGTATGGGTTACTATAAGGATTAACCCTGAAATAGAAATTATCGTCCTATTCCTTTAGGATAGTGTAAGAATGTGGAGATGGCCATCTTGAGTCGGATGTGGTTTGGTTAGGCAGTTTGTAGCAAAGTCCAAATTTCTTTTTTTGGAACACCTCTTTATCTACAATATAAAACAACATTTACAAAACTGTTTCAAGGCCAGCTCTGAATTCACTGCTTGTACAGTAGAGGAAATGTTGCAGCTGTGCTGAGATCAGAAGGATCCACTCAGTTTTTTACCTCAGTTTTATATTGTTTTTCTATTGGCAGAGCAGAGCTGACTGAATAGACATTTCAGAAGTTCTCTAAGTGGTACTGCATCCTATTGTCAGTGATTCTGTGCTTGGCATCATCTCTCCTTCAGATCTAAATTTCTGTATGAGGGGGGGAAGGGAACATAAATAATTTCATTATAAATGGTATATAACTAGACTGCAGTAGTGAAGTGCATATTAAGAATGTAGAGATTTTAATGGATGGAAATAAGAATCCCTGACCAGAAGATTGCAATGTTCCAGAATTCAAGGTTAGCGGATGATTTTACGCAGTACATTGACTTGATGTACTCAAGCAAGTTTATATAAGACCTGAATAAGTTGGATTTTTGTATATGAAACATTATGCTATATTTGTATATACCGTATGTGTTTGTATGTACAGTATATATTGTGAGTCACTGGCTGGCAGGGTTGTGGTCACTTAGGTTTCTCACATAAACATGGTGAGGAGCATCAGGGTTTATGAATGATGTAAAAAAAAAATATTATATTATTATTATTCAGGATTTATACAGCATCAACAGTATGCGCATTACAGGATTTATATAGCACCAACACAGTGCTGTTTGCACAGTGCTTTACAATATAAAGGGGGACAGTACAATAGCAACACAGTTCAATACAGTAGGGATAGGAGGGCCCTGCTCATGAAGCTTACAATCTAAAGGGGGGGGATGTTGTACAGAAGGTAATAGCTGCAGGGGATGATCCAATAGAGGTGACTCAAGTACAGTTTGTTAGGTGGAGGTGGAGTAGGCTTCCCTGTATAAATGAGTTTCCAAGGAACAAAAGCTTTTGTTTTCTCAGAATCCCAAATATTTTTTGCCTGAGTCCTGCAGCCTGGAGGAATTGTAAAGCTTTGGGTGTGATAAAGCCTCCACTCCTACGCCAACACCTTACCTGGTAGTCAAACCTAATGATTAGCCTCAGCTGTCCACATGCCTTTATATATGTGAGCTGACTGATCCTCAGGGCTCTCTCTCACTCTCTCTGCTGTGGGCGCCTGCTGCTGAGTGAAAAGATGGACTGCTGGCAGAACACTAAAATGGTGCTGCCTGTTGATTTTACCAAACCCATTAAGAAACACTGTTAGTCAGTAGCTGACCTAAGTTTAATTAGTGGCTTGGACGAGCAGATTTTATGCTTGTTTTATGGTATGGATTTGCTGTACAAAGTCCTCCTGCACTGAAGTTCTGTGAGTTTGCTGCCTTGCTGTCTCATGCATGGTTTACCATTGCCAATACCAGTTAAAGCTTTTCCTCTTACAATGTATATCTTTCAAATAATGATGCTGCATATTCACAACATATACACAAATCTAGTGTAAAGTTACTGCTTCTTTATCTTCTTCATCACCAGCCTCCCATAGTTTAGGACTCTGTTAAAGACTGTAATAACTAGTGCACAATGAATCTGCCCTGGACTCAAAGCGTGTCTAAAGGTTTTTTTTTTTTTTTTGTAAAAATAACAAACATGTCTATACTTACTGTGTGCAGTAGTTTTGCACCAAGCAGCCTAGATCCTTCTCTTCTCGGGTCCCCCGCAGGCTCTCCTGGCTCCTAGTGTCTGTCAGGTGCCCCCACAGCAAGCAGTTTCCTATGAGGGCACCTGATGCTTCATGTGTCCATTCACACATGGAACTGCAGTTTGGCCCCACCCCCTCTCTCTCCTCATTGGCTGACTGGCTGTGATTGACAGCAGGGGGAGCCAATGGCTCCCGCTTGCTGTGTCAACCAATGAGGAGGCAGAGACCCGGGACAGACAAGGCTGTTGTTCACATCGCTGGATCGCGATGAGGCTAAGGTAAGTAATGAGGGGGTTGGGGGCACTGCTGCACACAGAAGGTTTTTTACCTTCATGTATAGAATGCATGAAGGTAAAAAACCTTCAGCCTTTACAACCACTTTAAACCTAGTATACACAGACCAAATGTCGGGCGGCATTGGCCAGTTCAATTGAAACTGGCAGAAATTTGGTCCATGTGTAGAGCAGCCAGTCCAACAGAAGCCAGCTGTTCAGCTGTCTTCTATTGAAGGGACATGACCAGAAAAGGTCTGCCGATCAGCAGTTCTGGTGGGGGCGCGGTCCCCCCTGTCAGAACACAATAGCACAGCAGGGGAGATCACTGTACTAACAGCAGATAGTTAGTACAGCGGCTCCTCCTGAGCTGTCAGTTTTTTTTTTTGTTATGCCTGCTGATTTGAATGAAAAAAAACTAGTAGCGTGTACCATGCTTAAGTGTATCACAGATAAAAGGGAAAAGAGAGAATAATTGGTTTGTATTTTATTGAAAGCATGATTTACTGACACAACTCTTTTTTTCCTTGCAAACTTCAGGCAATGATGACAACACTTGCTCACCACTTGCTCGTTGCCCAGCAGAATGTACCTGCTTAGATACAGTGGTTCGCTGCAGTAACAAAGGTCTAAAAGCCTTGCCTAAAGGTATTCCCAAGGATGTCACAGAGCTGTAAGTAATAATAACGCATCTTATTTTAGTTACTGTGTTTAAAGAATTTCACTCTGTGTAAAAATGATGGCACTTTTTAAAAACTAGGGAGTGGTACTATCCTTACAATGAAAGAGCAGCTAAGATTAAAGTGATATTAAATCCTCAGTGTTTTAAGCACTTTTACCAGCTGATTTTATCACTTATTGAGTATGCAGCTTCTTTATCTATTAATCCTTGTTAAATGTTCCAGGTTTCCTGTTTCAGGGTGGCTCCTTCTTCTTGCAGCATCCTATGGAGCTACTGTTCCATGCAAGAACTGGAGTTGTGTCTCCATACATTGTGTGCATAAATAGAAACACACAGCCCTGTAGCCTAGGATGGCAAGGCACCCCCCTGATCCTCCCTTTTCCCCCCTCCCTTGTCCAAGCCAGTAGACTGGCTGGTGACAGCACTGTTAACTGTTAACCCTTACCTGTGAAAATCAAATGTTTAGGGAAGCAACACTGAGAGAGCAGGAGCTTGCGGCACAAAGTTGTAAACTACAATTCCGTGGTAATGTTTAGGAAAGCAGCACTGAGAGAGCAGGAGCTTGCAGCACAAAGCTGTAAACTACAATTCAGTGGTAGGAAACAAATAGACACTAGGGAATGTGTATTTTGTTGTGCTCAATGTGTTAAACTAAAAAACGCTGAGTGTTTTAATATTACATTGTAAAGTGCTGAGCAAACTGTTGGCGCTATATAAATCCTGTATAATAATAATAATTACTTTAAGACAAATTAAATGAGGAGGAACTGCCACTGAGACATCGAGTAAGTGAGTGAAATTTGGTTAGAGTTCCACCTTAGATTTAATTGCTTACTTATACTGGTGCTTTCATATTGGACTTGGACCATACATTGCTGAATTATCACATTGTGGCTTTCATATATTCTTTCCAATGTATATATGTTTTTTTTTATAAATAACTAGAAACCAATCCTATTTATTGGCTAACAGTTCAAAAATGTACTTTGCATTGTATGCAAGGAGGCCAAAAGAAATCCATGCTTACATGGGGAAAATGTACAAACTCTTAGAAGATAATGTTCAGAGTCAGAATTAACTAGTACCCCAGGGCTGCTAGACACAAAGTGCTTTCCCCTTGGCCATCATGCTGCTGTTATGTTACATGGTCATTTTACACACTACTGCTGTACAGTGGAAACCATCTTTAAGTCTATAAACTCCAACAAAGTAGCAGGCGGCAGATTTGTTCTACAGATAATGCATTATGCATGCTGCTGACTCAGAAAATACATTTATAAGCTTTAGTACTTTTGCATTTTCATTGCACTCTCACCATCATTTATCTTGCTGCCTCTGGGATTGCAGAAAATTTACCTTGATGTGAAACCTTTTAATGCTTCTGCACAGTGATGGATTTTGTTCCATATTTGTTTTATAGGTACCTAGATGGAAATCAGTTTAACCTTGTCCCGAAAGAGCTGTCCAATTATAGGCACTTGACACTTATGTGAGTAAAAGTAGCTATCGTTTCCTGCAGTGTTAACCAGCATTTTATGTTCTTTTTTTTTAATGACTTGTTCATAACAGAGGTTTCTTCAGTCTATTCCAGTTGTGAATTTTTTTTTAATAAGAAGCCATTCTAGAAGAATAGTCTTCCCCCCACAAAAACAGTCTATTAGATTCACAGATAATTGATTAAAGTTCAACCAAGGCTTCTATATGACAGTCTAAACAAGCACCAAATCCAGTTGCTATGTGGTGTACAAGCCTCAAAGTAAACAAAAAACTTCTACATTCCCTGAGTAAGCCCAATCCTTCTTGATTTGTGTTTCACAAGCTCCCCATCCCAGACACTGCAGCTCACAATAGAAGGATTTTAGCAGCAGAGGTAGTGCTGTCAATCCAGAAAGCAGTAGGTAGGACTAGGTGTGACCAGGTGCTGACTAACATGCTACAGAGAATGGGAGCCTCCCGCCTCACAGGCTCTTGTGATTGCCTACTAGAGATATCTATAAATGGCCTCGTTCTTATCTGAGAGCTTAATCATGGTGAGGTTTGGACATTATAGTTGGCTTATTGTGAGGCTCTCTCTAGGGCATCTTATAGACATGAACTTGGTCTATGAATCTGTTCAGATCACAAAAGAACAATAGACTACTGGGAGAAAATATACATAACATTGATCTGGGATCAGTGTGAAAATGATATCAGTTGTAGACTATAGTTGTCAAATCAAAAGTGAAAAAAGCTGCACCACCGCTGAATATTTTTTTTCTCTTATCAAAAAACTTTAGTTCATAAGTAAAGTGCATTTCAAACAACAATGTCCTCCAGACCCTGCTTCTTCTCCCACCCGACACGTTTCACCCCTCTGTAGTAGGCCAAGCTGCATTCAGCAATTTGTTCATGGTGTAGATTGAGAAGTTGCAGCATCAATCCATAAAAGGTTCAACTTGTGGTTATTTTTCATTTATAATTTTTTTCTTATCAGACCACTTTTGTGAATTTGTAAGTGATTTTAACAAATTAAATTTAGGAGAAAGGGATGTAAAATACTGTTATTCATCTGTGCCTAGGGCTGCATTACATCTACATACAACCCTAGCTACCCCCAGTAGTCTAATAGAGGTGATTTAGTGTAGTTGTGACTGTATATATGTGCTCTATATCAGTTTTACTAGAGTAAAGTGATTTTGACATTATCTTATCATCTTCCTGACATCATCTTATCCTAATGTTTCCTGTCTGACAGCCTTCTCTTATCTATAGTGCATTTCACTGTGGAATGGTTAGTCTGATACACTAAAAGGGCAAAGATGGCACTCCAAAGTGATTGAAACTACCAAAGGCTGCATTAGCTATCAGTTCTAAAATACAATTCAAATAAAATTTGTATTTTTTTCAGCTTTGAGCACCACTCTCAGCACAAGTATTTAAAATGATAAAGCAATATAAAAGAAACTGGATGTGTATATTGTTCTTCATTATAGCTTCAAAGTGCAGTGTTTTAGTTTTATCTGCTAACCTCTTACTGCACTGTATGCAGTGGAAGAGATAGATGTGTTATAATAGAGCAAACTTTTTTTTTTTTTTTTTTTAGTGACATGAGCAATAACAGAATCAGCACTTTGTCCAATCAGAGCTTCAGCAATATGACGCAGCTTCTCACCTTGTAAGTATGGCGACAGTACCATTTTCTATAGCAATGAGTGTGACCTGCTAACTGCCTACTTGTACACTTAGGTGTGCAGCCTGGATGTTAGATTTTAGGACGATAGTGCTATTTACTAAAACGGCAGCAGACTGACTTATCTGTTAAATGCCATATGTGTGAAAAGTTTCTGCTCTCTTATTTTTGTAATATGACCTTCATAACTATGCATTCGAGAAACCATTTAAGTGTGTTTCACAGCAGTGAATAATTATACATTATTGCTTAACACCTCTATGTAGCCCTGTCCTTTAACTGTCAAATGGATCAGTTTGAGGATGATGCGGAGCATGATTTGGAATTAATTCTGTTTCTAGATAAAACTTTATTTGTCATAGAGTAGGGAAATTTTAGAACCACTGTAAATGTTTTATTGTATCCTCACTGGGTGAATTTCCTTTTACTACTTGTCCTGGTGACAAGCAGTAAGAAAGTGACTTGAAAACTCTTAAAGTGATTCTAAAGGATATTTTTTTTTTTAAATAGCAAACATTATACTTACCTGCTCTGTGCAACGGTTTTGCACATAGAAGCCCCGATCCTCCTCTTCTGGTGCCCCCTGCTGTAGCTCCTAGCTCCTCCTTCCTTCTGAGTGTTCCCATAGCAAGCTTCTTGCTGTGGGGGTACTCATCAGGCTTGCTCCCGAGCTGCGCTCTGTGTCTTTTGACACATACCCCCCCCCCCCATTACTGCTTTCTCCACACTAGTTGTGATTGACAGCAGCAGGAACTAATGGCTCCGGATTGCTGCCTCTCAGACCAGTGAGGAAAGGGAGCTCAGAGAGCCACTGCTCTCGTGGACAGTGCTGGCTCAGGATCAGGCTCAGGTACGTATAAGGGGGACTGCATGCATTAAGGTAAAACACATTTTACCTTTAGGACCACTTTAAATGGACACATAGTAAAAATACATTTCTAGTACAGTGGTCAGTGGTTAGACCGTCAACCAGGTTTTTATTGCTATCTGTCTTCTTGTCCTGGTATCACAAGGGTGTCACTGAGGCACACTTTTTAGGGGAACTCTGCTCTTTAAAGCCACAGACAAAAATAACAACCTGATAAAAATGTTAAACCTTCTCCACTCTGTTCTTCAAACTAAAAAGAAGTTCTGACTGGTGTTGGACTGGGGTTGGACTACCTGAATTGACAAGTATGCTGTTAGTTGAAATCTCCCACTAGCTTGTTATATTACCAAGGGAGACAGCAGTAAGATCTCCTAAGTGATAAGTCAGTTCTGTCATGTCAACTCTTTAGAGATCTCACTAAAGTTCTCAAGAGATAGAAACAGCTAATGAGGGGCAAAACTATTAGACATTTTAGTTTTGTCTGGGCGAATCCCTTAATCCCAAAAGATTGTAGTGCATGCACTACAAATATACCTCACTTTTTTGACAATTTACCGTCTGCATTTGGTTAATGTTGGAGAAGATTAGTTTTATGTTCATTTTACAATACTCACAGCAATTGCAGATAAGCTATATAGAATATAGAAAGATAGAGACATGAAACAATGCCTAATACTATACTTATTTTCATGACTGATTTATGTTTTACAGGATTCTAAGTTACAATCGGCTAAGATGCATTCCTCTACGGGCATTCAGTGGACTTCACTCCCTAAGACTCCTGTAAGTAACAGCCTGGCACACCTATTCAGAATAGAAAAATAGTTATGGAGCTGTCAAAGGCAATAGGAATTTTATAAACTACTTATGTGACATGCAACTTAGTATGGTTTTTATAGGGTGTGTTGCATATATGTGTGCCATTTTGTTTTTTATGTAATTGCGGCTTTCCTATGGCAGCCCATTAGAATGCTATTTTAAATTGAATAGTGGATGCAGGGAAAGTCGATATCTGCCTGACCATTAGGGTAACATCACTACCTTTCTCTTGGCCTAACTGACAGAGTGAGGCCTGGCATTTAAAAGAGTTTTATTCTACTGCACTATATTTATTGGCAATCAAAAAGAAGTATACAGTCATTTCATTCCATTAATACATTTGTTTCTAAATAAAAATAGAATAAACTGTTTCTTATCTCTTTGTAATCTTACAGAACTGTTTGAGACTGAGCAGCACTCAGACACTTAGAAAAGGAATAACAAACTCTTTAAAATACCAACCCTTTTGGGTAATGCCAATGTAAGCGTACATAGGGGTTAGTTTACTAAAACTGGAGAGTGTAAAATCTGATGCAGCTGAGCATGGTAGCCAATCAGCATCTAACTTTAGCTTGTTCAATTAATCTTTCACAATCAAACCTTTACCAACCACATAGCTTGCACATCTCCTTCCTACAGTTTTCCTGAGCAGATTCAGTGTCTACACAAATGTATGAAATGCTGATGCTGTAGATACTTTTGTATTTGATGTTAGTCTAATTATGCCTTTCTTTTGTGTCACAGATCCCTCCATGGCAATGATATATCCTCTGTACCACAAGGAGCATTCAATGACCTCTCCTCCCTTTCTCACTTGTAAGTTTATCCATTTAGGCAGAATGTGGAATATGGGGAAAGCAGCCTAAATCATTTGCACATTAAATTACTTTGTAGTTTTATACAATTTTGCTGGGAAACATGCTAACATGTCTAACTAAAATTGTGCTCTCAAAATCCAGCTGTTTTGTAGCATTATACTGTACATATGGAGAAAAATGAATTAATTTCATTAAGCTGGAAGCTGCCATATTGGTTAAGTGCATCAAGCAGGGGTCGGGCTTCCTTATTATTGATTGAAAACAAAACTCCTCCTTGGCCCTTCATAACTCTGGCCACAGTCAAAATGCTGTTAAAGCCAAAGCTTATGTCCCATCCCATGCTTAAGTGAAAGGAGAAGTGGTAAGGGTTCAGAAGTACATATCTGTAGCAGTGAGTGGGTATTTCACTGAATTTTTCTCTTTAAATCATGTACAGCAGTGCATTTTTCAAGCGTTTAGTAAGAAATATTCTGTATATATGTTCAGTATGCTTATCATACACTTACTACTAACTACGTTAAATGTGGGCAATTTGAGCTATCTTGCATTGCCCTATCAAAGTTAATCCATATGGAATAGTGTTTTTCTTTTTCTCTCAGCTCATGTAAAGGGATTTTCTATTTTATAATAGAAAGTGTCATTATTTGCTTCTACAGAGATTAGAGATGACAGTGAAAATGCCTTCTCATACTTTCCACACCATGCAGAGAAACTTAACCCAGAGTATTGCACAGTTCTCTCTGCAACTCATATTCTATGCTGACAAGAATGTCTCGTCTCTATCCTGTTTCAGGGCCATTGGGGCAAACCCTCTGCACTGTGATTGTAACTTGCAGTGGTTGTCGGAATGGGTCAAGTCTGAATACAAGGAGCCTGGTATCGCTAGGTGTTCTGGACCTGGGGACTTGGCAGAAAAACTGCTTCTAACTACTCCATCCAAAAAGTTCACATGCCATGGTAATGTCTCACTCTCTTCTTCCATCACCTGTGTTGTTTTCTGGAGTTTCCCTATATATTGCACAATAGTTATTTTAAGCCAAATCAAGGTTGACAACTTACACTTTAAGTGGTGTTCCTTGTACAAAGATTGACAATAATATTAAAATTCTGTGATTCACCAGAATAAAAAAAAAATTTGGCTACCTTGCCATATATAAGCTCTGCTCTTTTACTATACAGTGAAGATATCTCATATTCACTGATTAGTTGTCTGGCCAGTCTTGTCAACAGTCCAGGATATCCCATAGTTCCAGCAACTGATTTAGGCTAGGGTATATGTTGGGGTAAGATGTAATTTGTCTTGGTATTTAATTCAGGACTATTGGCAAGTATTCTAATTAAAAAATTTTATTAAAAATAGAGTAGAAAGGGGGGAGGGCAAATGACCAACTTGGGGGAGGTACTGTATTTGCCCCTCTGTTTTAAGTTGACAGTGTTTTTGATGTGAACTGTGTTTTATGCTAAAGATATCAAAACATAAACTTTATCTACATTAAATTGGTATTTTATTCATCCCACTAGTCACACAATTCTACATGACATATGTGTTCCCCTTGTCACTTGTTAGTCTATATAAGGTTTTTTTTGTGTGACATCTAATAATCTTTCAATCTTTCACTTTTGGCCTTGTGATAACCATCCCTTAGAAATTCCAGGGCCTTGTGGTTTTCTGGTTCCAGGTAAGGGTTCCTGTCCCCACAGTATTAAGACAACCACCTTCACCTTCTGGATTTTCCTAAGATGTCTTCCCAAATTCAAACATGCATGTCATGTTCCTCCCCACGTCTGTCTTGTATTAAATTTCACTGATGTAAACCATTCCTATGTTTACCTTGGTATAGTGCTGACACAGAGCTAGATGTTGCTGTGGTTTCAGCTTTTATTCTTTACAAACTTTAAAGACATTCTCCATAAAAGGTGTACAATTACGGAGTACACAATGTTTTCATGCAGGTGGGATGCCTTCAAATGAAAATGGAAAGAGTTGTCTATGTGTTATTAATGATTGGCTTACAAAGCTACAACATTTTCAAACAGTTACAATTATTTTTACCATAGGGTTTTGTAGAATAAGCAAACTTAGTGTACAATTTTGGAAATTAGATACAGCGTGAAGATGGAATGGACCCACTTTGTCTACCTAAATGGCAATTTTTTTCACGTTTTATTCATACTAAATTTAAGGTATGATGTAGAGGTATACAGTGCAATACTTTAAGTACTCAAGTCTGCAATTTTTCTTGCATGGTTGTTCTCTACCTGGATTTAGATTTTTTGTAAAATTTTGTACCTCTATCATTACAACACTTTATTCTCACTTTTTTAGGGCCAGTGGATGTCAACATTCTTGCCAAATGTAACCCATGTTTATCAAACCCCTGCAAAAATGAAGGCACCTGCAACAATGACCCAGTTGACTTCTATCGCTGTACATGTCCCTATGGCTTTAAGGTACTGTGAACAAATATACACAGTGTTGTGTTAACACGGTCATATGCACTGTCGCATGGATAATGAAATCATTATTGTGTTTACAGGGTCAAGACTGTGATGTACCCATCCATGCTTGTATCAGCAACCCCTGTAAACATGGAGGAACTTGCCACTTGAAGGAGGGAGATAAAGATGGTTATTGGTAGGTTTTTTCACACTGTGTATGAGAAGACATGCTTGTCTTTAAAGCAAATTTACAACTTTGAGCTAAGATCACAGTGGTTGAGACAAGAAACAATGTATTATTTTTTATTTTAGTATTCCCTTATTTAAACCTATTTCAAGCTAAGGCTCTTATTAAAATATGTGGGGTCATGTGATATTGACACTGTTCCATGTATGGCTATTGCAGATAGTTTTTAAAAATATCTGCATTGGAATTTCCCACTTTCACACATGCTACTTAGGGCCTTGGACATTTTAGGACCTGTTATCAATTGAATTACCAGTGTCCAGAACTGGCCTTAGCCTAGGGAAAGAAAACTAGCTCATAATAAAATCTCATAATGACCAAGGCATGTCGTTCAACTCATTTTCCCTGTTGATGTTGCCAATAATTGGCAACAGGGTTGACTAAAACACTGTATCCAGGACTACCACAAAGCAGCTGTGAAAGTCTATATTCACAGTTATGACTGCAGCATCTTCTCTGTAGTGACACTCCATAGGAGCATATCCAAGGACAACATAGGTGTTGACATCAGTAATGTCCACAGAGCCATTCACCAGACGCATATGCAGTGTGAAATTCTCAGCCATAAACACAGAAAACACATACAACCTATAGAGACCAAAATCAGAACATGGTGGAGATACTTGGTTTATCTCTCAAATAAGGCTGATATCATCCTGTATTAATATAACTGTTTGCAAAATTTTGATCATTCAAAAACTGTAGACTGCACTTTAACAAATTTTACATTTTGTCTCACAATGTACATTTGGTAATGATTAGGCAGACCCATTGCCAGTTCTACATACCAGCTTCCTTGAAATGGTATGGGTAATAAGTTTGATGAGCTGACACTTCTGAACATGTGTTAGATTTTTGTTCCAAAGTATTCATTTCTCATTGCTTCCACATGCAGTTAACAAATGTGACAGGTTGGAAGTTGCAGATGTGAGTTGTTGAACTTCATACACTTGACATTTCTTACTCTGCATGACCCCTCATATGGCCTGCTTACAGTTACAGTAGTGGAAAATTGTATCATGGGAGGCTATGCTGCTTCTTTATGGTGGGTTCTGCTCTATGGAAAATGTATCATTCAGACATTACTGTGGCAGTAGGCTTATTGTGACTACAAAAAGAGATGTCTGCCATCATTCGTAACTTCTGCTTTCTGTACCTGCTTGCTTCAAGGTGTACCTGTGCAGATGGCTTTGAAGGTGAAAACTGTGATGTGAACATTGATGACTGTGAAGATAATGACTGTGAGAATAATTCCACTTGTGTGGATGGAATCAACAACTACACCTGTCTCTGCCCACCTGAATACACTGGTGAGTCTCATGAAGCCTAATTTAAGTAATGAAGGGCTCACTGTACTGTATTAGATGTTCATACTTGGGCTGCATACACACTACACTCTGTAACTGTTTATTGTATTCTAAGTATTAGATTCACCCAGCAGATAGGTGAATGCTGCTCACCCTGTAAGCTTCAATGGGATAATGGAGCACAGTAGTTGTTTCTACACCAGGGACTTGTTTTATCACTAAATGCTTGCAGGTATGGATGGCCATGCCTTCTGCCTTTGAGGTTTAAGCCACTGCAGGGACTTTTCACTCCCATAATGCATATAGTTTGAGCCCCGGTCAACTAGCTGCTGTTCAGAGCGTATACTTGGCATAAGAGCTGTTGTGTGTACAAAGCCCAGTACAGGTGTTTGACAATTATGCTGCAAATTTTAATGCATTCAATGTAACTACAGTGCAGTCTCAGTGCATTCATCCATGGATTGCAGCCAGACTGTGACTCTATGGCATGCTGGGACTTCTAGCTCCACAAAGCAACGACTGCATGTTACCTGCCTCTGCTGTAATGCATTCATCAGCAATTGTCATAATAAGTAATGTCTTCACGTTGTCTTCCACTATTAACTGTCTCTTGTCTATCTTCCATTCTAATTCATAAATGTGCATCATTTTCCTGCTACTGCTAATCACTATGTTCTGCTATTAGTAATGGCTAAGCTCTCTGTGCATATCATTGCCTTTGTGCTCTTGTCATTGTTGCTGGCTTAACATGCTGTGTTGTTTCCAATAAACACATATGTATCTTGTCTCTTCTGTCTTTGTTGCACAAGCTGCTAATCTGAATGAGGTGGAAAAAGGTCAGTCTTCCTTCATCCTTTTCTCCTACTTCTTGTGGTATGCCACTAATAATTAGGTCACAGTACAGTCAGTCCACCTGTTGCCATCGCTCTGCTCTTTGTCTAAGTAAATCCAATAAATCCAATATGCTACTCTAATCATTGGGGACAGTTTTACTTCTATTAATAAAATAGGCATGTGCATACAGAAGAGCATGTGAGAAAACTATGCCACAGAGCATATGAAACAAATCAGAGGTTGGAGTTAAATAGAAAAGTACCGTATAGATTCCCAGTGTACTCTATGGATCTCCGTAGAAGAAAGGGGGGTTATCATAACATTAAAAAAAAATTCCCCTTATAAAAATCCAAGGTAAGAGGGTGAGTGCTGATAGTCATGACCTAGGAGCACTTTGAAGGCAAAATTTTGGTTTTGTTTGGATTTTAAAGGATACTTTTCAATAAAACTTTCTACATTTACCCCTAGTGCTAAAATACCACTTTTATTTCTTACTTTCATTTAAAATAATAGTGCATACAGATAAGACAGTTGAAAATATTTATCTAGAATCATAAGATACAGTACAGAAAGGACGTGCTAATGCATGTTTCCTAAAACTTTGGCAATTGAGCTTTGTTCACCCAGAAATTAAAAAAAGAGGCCATGTGTTTCTAGCATCTACAGAGTATCCACTGACCTCGGGGGTAAAAGGGTGTCATCACCCTTGCATCACATCAGTACACACCAGATCCAAGTGGTTTCTTTACTCTGCCATGAATGTTGACTGCTGTGTTTGGCCTGGGTCAGGAGCTACAGGCCTATTGACTATCATTGTTCTTGTTGATTGGCTTCCTGCCAGCTTGGAGAGCAGAATGCAACTTGAAATTATGCTAGAGGTGGATGCAGAAACACAAAGGCTTAAACTGGCCATACATGGACTGAAATTTGGCCAGTTTGGAAGGGCTCAACCAAATTTCAAGCCATGCATAGGCAACATGGTTGTACATAAGTTCATCTATTGATCGACTTGTATACAACCAGTCTGCCACTGGTTATGAACGATTAGTGCTGTCAGCAATAGCTGGCAACACTAATCATTGTGTTCTCCTCCTGCCCATGGCAGAAGGAAATAAAATTGCATCATCTGTGCCCTGCCTTACACCTACTTATCCCCTAATATGACGGTGTCATTGAAAACCTCCACAGTCTCCAAACTTTTATCAATGAGAGCTATAGGGTGTATAGCACCATCTAAAGAAACAACCCAAAATGTAAAATAAGAGCTTTGGGTTGATTATAATGTGTACACAAATATTATTTTATGCCTTAATGTTTGTATTTCCTCTGACACAGTACCAATTAGGGTCAGAGTGCTTTTCTGTCAGTTTTCATGAATTTCATATAAAATTAATAAATACAATTTGTACATATGAACTTTACAAAAGTGTCACAGGATCAATGTTGTATAGTACTAGGGCATGGAAGCCAATTAATATGTGAGTACGTGTATGGTTGTGGGATGAAACCAAAGCATTGAAGGAACACACAGACATGAGAAAAAAAACATCCAGTATCTGTAGGCTAGAAAACACACCTGCGCAAAGAGTAATACTTATTCATTTATTGGAAAAACTCATGTTTTTGCTTGTTAAATCTAAACCAAGACCTCAACACTTCAAAGCATATGTGGTGATCACTAAGCCACCTTGTTGCTGCATATACGTATCTTATTATTTTGTTTTTATGATCTTCAAACATTTTACACTTTCTTCCAATTACAACTTCTGAAGGGATTCTAAATGTCAAGAATGTACAGTACATTGCTGTATACGCTTTTTATATCAGACAGTCAGGTTTCACACAGCCACCCATCCCTGTGGGGGAGAACACACGGTTCTAAATGCTTTTTACAAATTGTATTCTTCTAAATCTCTCATGCATGTAACTACTGTAGCAACATTAAGTACAAAGCAAAGTAATTACAATATGTAAGAAGTCTGTCAGTGTCGGCTGCTATGCAGGTGAGCAGAGCTCGGAGCAGATTGTAATATATATATTTATGTTACTAGTCGTCTCAAGTAACATGAAAGTGCCCCTTAAGGTAGAATTCATGCGAGTTAAGTCATCTATTGCAAAGACCCATAATCCAAAGGCAGTTCTCCAATGCCGCACGCTGTTGCACTAAGTTAATTATTCCACAACATAAAAAGATACGTTTTGTCTTTCAATACATTGTGGCAGGGGATAACTACAGCAGGTGTTCCTTCAAAACTGAGAATGGGCTTTCATAAAGCTGTCAGAGTAACTTAGTGCATTGCTAGGAAACTCAAGCAAGCTTAGCCCAGGGATGCTTACTTCCTAGTCATCGGGAAAACAACTGCCGTAGGGCACAATGGGTACATGAGCTGTATCAAAGCTACACACGAAAAGTTATTTTTCAATATGAAACAGTAAGATGTTTAGAAGATATGCTGTAGAAAAGCATACCATGGTTATTTCCTTTATGTTCTCAGCATGTTCTGTTAATTAGGCAGAGATTATAGCCCAAGTTTACTATCTTCTTGTACACTATTAGGCATATTTGCTGTCCAGTTCCTTAGTTTTAATATACATAAATCAATTGCAGTGATTCATGTTGCTTCTAATTACCAATCAATTTAATTACTTAACCAGTTGTCAGGGCTCCCGGTAAGACCAGAGATGCGTGAACTGACACAGGGAAACGCAGGCTCAAGTATGGTGTAACAATATAATTTATTAAGGGTTATACACAAATATAACGCACAATATAACAAAACCAAACCTCCAACTGATAACGGAATGTACACAGATAAGAGCAGTCAGGGCTGGTGAGCTGGAGTGGTCAAGCGGGCCAGGTCAGGAATCATCGGGCAGACAAGACACAAAGGCGTAGGCAGAGTGTAGTCAGACGGGCCGAGTCAGGAACAATCAGGCAGACAAGGTACCAAAGGAGCAGGCTGGAGAGTGGTCAAGAATAGCCGAGGTCAGGACAGGCAGAGTTCATTCAGGGTCAGAATCAAGCAGAATCAGGAATCAGGCAGGAAGCAGACAGGATGCAGGTACAGGGGCTCATGGGAAACATACACCAAGGCACTGACTGCAGGTCTGGCCATTCCTTAAATACACCTCCTGCAATCAGCCCCAGGTGTTGGCTGATTGCAGGAGTGAGCTTCTGGCTGCTGAGAGCACCCGCTGGTCAGCCCTGGTACTGCAGCCCACACGGCAGGTGAGTCCCACACCAGTAGTGCATACAGTAAGTACTTACCTACAGTGTATATACTAGGTATTTCTTTATATATGTCTTATTTGCAGGTATATTAAGAGGATCCTTTTTAATGCTGTGTTTCATATAAAGGATTGATATTTGCATAAAATAGTCTAGTGACTTTTATTCTTCAGATTTTTTGTCCTCTCTTATTTTTACCGGTGACCATTATTTGTCAATACAGAGGGAGCCCTATTATGCACACCAAAATTGCAGCTTAGAGCAGTACTTCTCAGCTCTTTATCAGTCAAGGCACCCTTTAAAGTTCTGCACAATCTTGAGTCAACCCATTCTAAAATGTAAAAAAACTAAACTGCTATTTTATTTTATAGCAGTGGCTTCTACACATGTAGGACACCCAAGATTAGAGGTGTTTTTTTTACAAAGCAATACACCTTTGCACACTTGCTCTGGCTACTATTTCAGCATTTCTCTTCTCCCCTCAGTTTCTCTCCCTCATTCTAAGCTGTAACCCCAGTGCTGATGAAGAGGGGCAAGAGAGGCGCTAACAAGAATGTCCTCATGCGACCAAGCCATCTTTGTCAGCCTATGATGGCTTCAGTTGTTATGAAGTTAGTGGCTAGCATGCATGGTGCCCAAGGTTGTAATGCTGTTCAATAAAAACATGTGGCTTTGTGTAACAAAATAAAGCAGCCTTGTTCCACCTGCTGTCTTGACAGTTTTTGGGCAATTTGGGGCAGTTTGTAGGCATTTTGCTAAGGCACCCCTAAAGAACCCAGAAGTCACCCTAGGCTGCCATAACACCCTGGTTGAAAAAGGCTGAGTTAGAGACATCCAATTATGCACTATGTTTTATTTTCCATCATATGCAGGAAAGTCAACAGGCTATTTTCTATGATAAACTTTACCACATATCTTTTAAGGAAGTTAAGGAAAAATCCTAATATATAATCATAATAAAGCTGAACTCCAGCCTTACCTTCAGTCTTGCAGAGTTCTACAGAATCTTCTGCTGAAATTGCTTGCTCTGATTTCACATACTGTGAGCTTTACAAAACAGATAGACTTCCCATCCTCTCATTTCCTGGCTGTAGGATGTCCAGCATCATCTAGCTCTTTCCTTCTCAACCTGACTACCTTTGGTCCACCAGGGAAGGCAAAATATATGCAGATTAAGCTTCAGATTTAAAAATTACCATGACAGCAGACTTAGGTTATTGTAATTTGGGGGTTGAAAAGTTTTTGCTTCATTCTGAATGCCTAAATTATGGGAAAGCAAACAAGGGTATTTGTTTGCAGAGGTGATGCAGCTCCCTTAGGTAAGTTCTGTGCTGTTCCATAGATGTCAAGCTAGCCATACACTGATAGTTTCCTAACAGATTCCTCCATCTATGCTACACATTGCAGATGGATGAATCACCCCTTGTGCCTGTTGTATTGTGATAGCTGCCCATGCTGACTGTCAAAATGCCAAAACACCAGCTGCATCTAATTAGATGCAGCCTCTTTCTTGCTGACAATTTTCTGCCCAAATTCGATTTTTCAATTTTGGGATGTGAGGTGGAGGCAGCTGACAGGGCCACCTACATAGAGATTTTCCTGATGAACTGCCCAAAATTTGATCAGTGTATGGCCAGCTTTAGCCAATGGTCATATAAGAACTGTAGGTGCATGGATCTCATTTATCAGAGCGTGCTTGTGTACCATAGACACTGATTTGGCTCAAAACAGATGCAATCCAGAAATCTGAACTTTGTTGGTCATTGTGGGGCAAGGAAGGGCTCTTTTATTTTAAGTACTTTAAAAATTGAGACCCAGGAGTGCTATGTATTTATAAAATGTCTGCTAACATCTCTAGATAGCTAGAGCAAGGCCCACAAATTCCCCACATGACCCAATGATATTTCTGTGGCACATGTGGGCATAAGGGAACAAGATATGAAATGAATTCTGATCTGCTATAATTTATTGAATAAGAATGGTAGATGGTAAAAATGAAGATGCAGAGTAAATGTTTTGTGTCATGTTGTATTGCAGGAGAACTATGTGAAGAGAAGCTGGACTTCTGCTCCCAGGAAGTAAACCCATGTCAGCACGACTCCAAATGCATCTTGACTCCAAAGGGATACAAGTGAGTGTTTAGTGTAAGAAAAAGTTATCTGTAGTGGTTTGCCTGTGTCCTTGATCATTCACTCACACACACTTCAAAAAAAGTTGTATATGAACAGCTGCAGGGTGGGCAATGTCTGGGACGCTTATGCACGACCAGTTACAGGTGACAGCTTCATGGCAGGATTGCTCAGGTGCGTTCGAACTTACGATCCAAATATGCCTGAGCTTATCCCTAATAAACATGACTGCTAAAATATACTTTTTATTCATGTGGATGTTTCCTTTCCTATAGACATGTTGTTGTCTTGCAGCCCAGGGTCAATATTTCATATTTTTTATAGTTGTGCTGGGTATGTATGGTTGCTGACATGTTGAATTACATGCAATTTTTTTCTGTCTTTCAAAGACTCCCAGAGTAAATTCACCCCTTGAGAATACCAAGTCATTCAATAGATGGGGAATTATCTTTCCCGACTTCAGCAAGATGTTCATTAGATGAGACCTGTCGCTATAGTGCCCTACACCAATAGTGGTATCCACAAAGTACTTTTATCCTTAACAATTTTCTCTCCAAGGTGTAGGAATATTTCTGTGTTGATAATGGCTGCTTCTGTCAACAAAGAAGTTCATTGTCACTCTCTGGAGCACAGAAACTGCCCAGCTGATACAAAGAATGATTATAGTTGAATGTATAATTTGCTATAATCAGTAAATTAATGGCCATCCTTATGGGAAACAATATTTTTTAGAAAGATTGAGTTGAATAAGTACATAATAGATGAAATGTATTTACCTCTATTTCATGCAATAGAAGTAGCTTACTTGCTGATCAGTAACTAATACTCTAAGGGTTTATGTACAAGGGAGTTGTATTCCTTTATTTGATGTGGATGACAATTGTCAGGCTGCAGTTGATCTTCTTTGTGTTGCACTTCTCTGGACGCAGCAAGTTCTACTCAGATGCATTTGTATTGAAGGCAAAGAAGGCCAAATGCATCTTGTTGCAGTTATTTGCATTTAAATACATGTGTTTGAGTGCCCCAGCATTCTAAAGCAAAAGTCAATGTTTGGAAACAATGACCACTACATAAGCCCTGAAAAATGTTTGATTCCATTCCCTGAACCATAGCATATTATGGCAAATTAGATCCCGGCTTACACAGAACAGAATAATGGAAGTTCCTATTGAACCATAGAAGCGAAGCAGAGCTTTGTTTTGTTTTTTTTTGTTTTTTTTGCTTTTGTTTTCATTTGTTTTAGGCTTGATTAGCTAAGATATTCTAAGAGGAACAGTGACAACACACTAGTATTTTTTTCACGTCTGAACGTTGGAGTCGAGAACACGACAAAGTGAAATTGTCCTGACTGTGGCCAGTGTCAATGCAAATAGAGATTCTCTAAAGTTCTTCTTTAATGCTGCATTACTACCTAATTATGTGTTATGACTCCTGCCTCTCCTTCCTTCTCTGATTGTACAGCTATTAACATTGTTCAACTGCCTAATGACTTGTCACTAGAGTCAGGCAGCATGATGCGCATCAGTATGCAGGACTATAGCAGACTTCTATGGGGTTCGGTCATGTGAATTACTATTATAGAGCACATGGTGTGAATTAATAAGTGGTTTCTGCTATTCATCCTATTCTAGATGTGACTGCACTCCAGGATATGTTGGCGAGCACTGTGAAACTGACTATGACGATTGCCAAGACAATAAGTGTCGGAATGGTGCGCGGTGTACAGACGCTGTTAACGGCTATACCTGTATATGTCCAGACAGCTTCAGGTGAGAATTCTTCAGGGTTCAAAATAGGTAACAAAGTATTCATTGTGTAAAACAGTTCACCTCCACATTTTGCTTTCATGAGATAAAGTTTTGGAGGTACGAAAGAATACTTATCAAATGGAGTCATGGCTTTGTCAAAATATTAGAAAGATCAAAGATGTGCAGTCATAACTCATGGGTCCAAATGCTAACCCAGTCTCTGCTCTCAAGTGCGGTGTACCAGTTAGAATTAAACTGTACAATTTCTTAAGCCCACAACATATTAACCACTTCCCATCCGGGCCATGTACATAAAAAGCCAACGGGAGCAGTGCAGGAGCGGGTTGCCATTCATAAACAGCACCCGCATTTTCAAGCTGTGCATGCCCCCTGGAAGCGCGCGGGCACCGCGATCCAGTGCCTGCTATGTCTTCCAGACACAGCGGAACACCGATCGCTGTACGCCACCTCTGTGTGAGATCCCAATTCATGTGGACACTGATTGGCCAATCAGTGATCACATGAACAGTAGTAAACAAGATGTCACTTCTGACATCATTGCTTACTACGTGTGAAATCTGTGAATGATCACAGAGGTCACATGGTACAAGGCTATTCACAACAGCCTTGTACCATGTGACAAGCTGTGACCAATCACAGTTCTCACAGTATTTCTCAATGGCTGCAAGAATGCAGCCAGAGAGAAGGTGAAATGATTGCTTTTGCAGCCTTTATGGGTATAAAAGAAATCAGTGTGAAAAAAGAAAAATAAATCTTCATCACCCCCCACAAGTAGTACAGTGTCATTGTACTGCTAGGGTGGCAGTATGTTAAAAAAAAAACATAAATAATAATATAAAAAAATTTAAAACATTTTTTGAAAAATTATAATTTTTGGTTATAAACTAATATGGGTTTTTTTTTTTTTACTAAAATGATAACCGAATACATTTTGGCCAAGATTTATGAAGAAAGATTATTTATTTGCAAAATGTTATAAGAAAAACACTTTTCAAAATTTTTGGACATTTTCATTTATATAGCAAAAAAAATAAAAATCCCAGTGGTGAATAAATACCACCAAAATACAGTTTTATCTGTCTCAAAAAAATGCAAAAAAAATTCATATGGGTACAGTGTTGCATGACCGCGCAATCGTCATTCAAAGTGTGATAGCACTGAAAGCTGAAAATTGGCCTGGACAGGAAGGGGGTAAAAGTGTCCAGGTTTGAAGTGGTTAAACACCATTTATACTTGATTTTGCTTGTAAACTACACTTGATTGAGGAGCCATGATGTTGTCTAACAATGCTTACTAATCAATCTGACTTCATTGTATTACAGTCAGAACAGTAAATGGGGAATTCTGGTTGGAAGCGCTTTGCGCTGTATTACATATACCTGTGGTTTTTTTTTATTGCACTGACAATTATCTGTATGCCAGCCAAGTTAAGAATAAGTAGTCGAAAGAAGTATTTATACTTTTGCAATTTTTTGATTTCCAGCGGACTCTTCTGTGAGTACCCGCCACCCATGGTTTTACCGCGTACAAGTCCCTGTGATAATTTTGAATGTCTGAATGGTGCACAATGTATTGTGAAAGGCACTGACCCCTCTTGTCAGTGTGTGTCAGGATATCAAGGGAGCAAGTGTGAAAAACTAACCAGCATCAACTTTGTAAACAAGGACTCTTACCTGCAAATGTCATCGATGAGGATCCGTGCACAGACCAACATCTCACTGCAGGTATGATGGATATTGTTGAAGATTGTGTATAGACTGACTGATATAAACTGAGTTTTAAACTGCACTTAATGCTTGGGAAATGTGATTCTGGAAAAATTAAACAATAAGGTTGATTTACTAAAGGCATAGAGCATTTTCACTTTGTAAAGTGATTTTTTTTCCTTAGTGAGTGAGGTGAAGCTGTGTTGAGTTCAAACATCCTACCATGTGCAAGTACAAATCCTGTTTCTTTTTAATTTCTGCTGCTTATTATTGGGTATGTTTGTATGTGAATTTTCCCCTAATTTCACCTGTTTCACTAAGCTAAGTGAAAATTCACTTTGTAAAGTAAAAGCACTTTACTTTTTCAGTGAATCAAACCACAATAAGTGCTTCTTTAAAGAAAAACTCAGGGCAATTTTATTTTTCTTTGCACGTGTGATGGGGCTGTGCGTGCTCTGCACGGGTTAACTGCTCGTTTTGTTCTAAGGGAGAGAACAGCGGATATATACTTACCTGACCCTCCGATCCTCCCGCGCAAGACTGGTCCTTTGGCTCCTGCCCCTCTGTGGTCCAGTAGTCTTGTAAATGGACTGTTCCTGATATCAGCATGCTCAATGCACGCTCCATAGACAGGAACAGCCCACTGCTGGACTGTGGAGGAGCATAGTTTTTGGAAGGATTGACGGGTGCACTGCATGGTGAAATTAAAATTGTTCCCTAGAGATTTGCTTTAAATGTAGAAAGTATAACTGAACAATGCTAACATACAGCCTCTTAAAGTGTCACTAAATCCAAGACCCTGCATTCACTATATCTGGTCTCCCACAGTACACAGAACATGGAAGTGCAATTATTTTATATAAATATAAACTGCTAAACACCTTTTCTCATCAGCGGTTAAAGCAGTCTTGTGACTTCAGCTGACCACTGGTTAAAGCTTATAGGAGTTTTCTCTCTGCTCTAGGAGGATGCAAAACCCCTGACCTCTGTCTGGACAGTGCTGATTGGCCCTGTGCTGATCACATGCACTCTCCCAAAAAAAACCTCTCTGACAATACACACTAAACTGAGCATGTGCAGAAGGGCTTCAGGTTCAGTCTGTCTTACAGACTCATTTGAACAAGAGGAGGGGCAGAGAAGTCAGGATCAAACAGCCCTTATACACAATGCAGAGGAATAACTCCTTAGGTTCCACCGTGAGTATAGCAAGCATGTTTTACTGCATATACAGACTGATTTTCATGTTGTGGGTTTAGTAACACTTTAAGCAGTTGGATAGGTCAGCACTATCATAGATAGAGAGCACGCACCAGCCTTGTGCAATACCTTAGACACTGTTTTAATAAAGTCCAAGTTTTTGAATTTTGACATTTTTTTCTACAGCTAGTAAACCCCCCTGCATGTTATCCTATGTGTCCATGCACACATAGACTGTAATCAACGTTTTTTGGCTGGGATGTTTTTTTGCTGGAGAAAAAAAACCCAGGACTAGTGGGTTTCTAGAGGAGTTTTTTTAGCTGTACAAATGCTCTAACGCTGGAAAAAAAACGCAGTTAATTTTTCTAAAAACGCCGCAAAACGACATTTTTGGATGTTTTTTTTACCAAAAAAAATTTTGGGTCAAAAACAATGCTAATAAAAAGGCTAAAATCGCAAATGCAGAAAAATGCGGGAAAACGCAGCTAAAAGCTGATGCAAAAACGCTAAAAAAAGTTTAAAAACTCACATTTTTAACATGACTTTACACAGATAACGTTACCAGCGTTATCAAAATGTCCAATGTGCATGAGGCGTTAGAGCGTTTTTACAGGTAAAAAAACTCCTCTACAAGCCCACTAGTCCTGGGTTTTTTATCCAGCCAAAAAACTTCCCTGCCAACAAACGTTGATTACAGTCTATGTGTGCATGGACACATAGGATAACATGCTGGCGGGGTTACTAGCTGAAGAAAAAAACGTCAAAAGCCAAAAACAGCCACTGTAAAAATGTCCAGTGTGCACGAGGACTAAAGAGTTGCACAAGGCTGGTGCGCTCCCACTTTTTATGATTCTAGTGCTGACTGAAGACTTCCATGATCTAAAGAGAGCTGCAAATTCTGTTACATCATTGAAACTAAATTAGTGTAAAGGAAGATTGTTTCAGCCAAGTGTTTCTAATATACTTTAGCACTTGAGTGTTGACAGTGCGTTTGTTTTGTATTAGTTGGACAGGTCAGTATAAGTGATATAGTGCACAAATATCACCCTCTAACAGCCAAAGGAGGGTCATTCACACCATGGCAATGCTTTATGGTGCTTCTGGGAAGAAGTCTTGCTTGCTGTATTTTGAATGTGTTGTCATGCATTTTGCTATTCAATCACTTGTAATTGGAGATAACCATGTGTCAGTGTGCATTAATGCAGGTGTACACAAGCCCTTACAATTTTATCACCACTGATGGCAAGGATAATAGAATATAAGCACAGTGATTGACAGAGCTGTGTAAACATGTACTCCTTGCTATAACATGTGCCATACACAATTACACCAATATTCTGTCTGCCTGTGTGGTGTGTGTGTCTCTCTTTTCTCTTTTTCCCTCTTCTTTCTTTTCATGATTCTCTTTCTTTACCTCTCTTATTATTCTGTATTTCTCTTCTCTGCTCTTTTCTTCTTTTCGCTTTGCTTCTCTTCTCACTTTAGTCCCTTCTTTCTTTAGTTTCTTCTCTCCTTTGTCTCTACTCTCTTATGTCTGAGTTCCTCTCCTTCTATCTATCTATCTATCTATCTATCTATCTATCTATCTATCTATCTATCTATGTATCTGTCTGTCTGTCTATTATTATTATTATACAGGATTTCTATAGCACCAACAGTTTGCTCAGCGCTTTACAATATAATGGGAGACAATACAGCAACAATACAGTTCAATACAAGAGGGATAGGAGGGCCCTGCTCCTTGGATCTTACAATCTAAGAGAGAGGGGCTAGTAGTACAAAAGGTAATAACTGTGGGGGATGGACTGGTAGAAGGAATAGAAGATTCCATTATTAGCTGAGGGCAGGATAGGCTTCCCTGAAGAGATAGGTTTTCAGAGATCGCCTAAAACGTGAGCAGAGTAGGCGATAGTCTGATAAATTGGGGTAGAGAGTTCCAGAGGATGGGGGAAGCTCTGGAAAAGTCCTGGAGACGAGCATGGGAGGAGGAGACAAAGGAACTAGAGAGATGGAGGTCGTGTGGGGAGTGGAGAGTACGGTTTGGGTGATATTTGGAGACAAGATTGGTGATGTAATTTGGGGCAGAGTTATTATAAATGGCTTGATATGTTATTGTTAATGTTTTATCCGTTGGGCAACGGGAAGCCAGTGGAGGGTTTGGCAGAGAGGGATGGCAGATATGGAACGGTTAGTAAGGTGGATGAGTCTGGCAGCAGTATTCATGATAGACTGAAGAGGGGATAGCCTGCGATGAGGTCGGCCAATGAGGAGGGAGTTACAATAATCAAAACGAGAGATAACCAGGGAGTGAATACGTTTCTTAGTAGTTTCAGAGGTTAAGAACGGGCGTATCTTGGAGATGTTGAGGAGGTGAAATCTATCTATCTATCTATCTATCTATCTATCTATCTATCTATCTATCTGTCTATCTTTTTTCTTTGCTCTTCTCTCTCTCTTACCTAGTCATCTTTTGCTCTTTCTCTCTCTTCTTGCTCTCTGTTCTTTATCTCTCTGTCAAATTCAAACACATTTACATTTAAACGAGGTTTATTGGCAGGACCAAACACATTTAGCATTGCCAAAGTATTGCTGTCTCTCCATATCTATCTTTTCTTTTTCTCTTGCTCTTCTCTACCACGATACTTTCTATCTATCCAATAATTAGTTGCAAATGTCAAGCTGCACCCAACACCAGAGAAATGGCTAGGGAGCCTGTTATTAATACACAGATCATGCCCCGTGTGTGAACCTTTCCTGTTATCAGATCTCTGTATCATTCTATCACTTCTGCAATAAAACCCTTATTTAGATATTCATCTTTGCTGCACATAAAGGGAACTTTTAATAAGTAAAATGCATTGAAATTCCTCATGAAACAGGATCCTTTGTTGAAGCTCCAGAAATCTGTTTTTTTATTAACATGATGCAGATGTTGATCTATGTCAGCGCAGGAGAAAATACATGTCATGCTACTCCATAAAACACATGTATGTGTTTATATTAATGTATGGATGTTATGGATAAAGTAAAAAATGGATTATTTTGACTTTACTTGGATAATGTTGACATTATCCAGGCGTATTTAGGTAAAGTCCCATAAAGTGTATGGAATTTGAAGCCGTTTTTGTACTAGGAATTGTATATGGTAAATAAGAGACTGTTTGGGAGTTGTATTATGAGCATTAAAAAAACAAAACAAAAGAAAACATGATATGCCAAAGGTTTGTGAACACCTATCATAGCTGTATGAGCTTATTGGACATCCCATTTCCATAATTGTGTGCTTGTCTGATAGGGGTGGGGGAAGCAGTGGTAGATCAATGATTGAAGAAAATGTATTTAGCAAGGTTTTGTTCTTCTTGAAAGAGGTAGTATAAGCAGCTTATTCACTCCCTGGTTATCTTTTGCCTTGACTATTGTAACTCCCTCCTCATTGGCCTACCTCATCGCAGGCTATCCCCTCTTCAGTCTATCATGAATGCTGCTGCCAGACTCATCCACCTTACTAACCATTCCATATCTGCCATCCCTCTCTGCCAATCCCTCCACTGGCTTCCCATTGCCCAATGAATAAAATTCTAAACATTAACAATAACCTATAAAGCCATTTATAACTCTGCCCCAAATTACATCACCAATCTTGTCTCCAAATATCACCCAAACCATACTCTCCGCTCCTCACACGACCTTCTGCTCTCTAGCTCCCTTGTCTCCTCCTCCCATGCTCGCCGCCAGGACTTCTCCAGAGCTTCCCCCATCCTCTGGAACTCTCTACCCCAATTTATCAGACTATCGCATACTCTGCTCACTTTTAGGCGATCTCTGAAAACCTATCTCTTCAGGGAAGCCTATCCTGCCCTCAGCTAATAATGGAATCTTCTATTCCTCCTACCAGTCCATCCCCCACAGTTATTACCTTTTGTACTACTAGCCCCTCCCTCTTAGATTGTAAGGAGCAGGGCCCTCCTAACCCTCTTGTATTGAACTGTATTGTTGCTGTATTGTCTCCCGTTATATTGTAAAGTGCTGAGCAAACTGTTGGCGCTATATAAATCCTGTATAATAATAATAATAATGTTTGAAGGTAAGTTACTTTGCAAGACTGCCAATGTCAATAATGATATCTTTGAGGCATGGTTGCTGGGTACAGGCAATTTCACTCCAGTAAACATTGCATTGATTGGGTTGAAATTGTTCAGCAAATAGCCACTCATTCCCGTTATAGCAGTGGGTGCCTACACTGCATACAGGATATGAACTCTGAGGGATGCAAATCAATTTGTGTACTTGTTGAGCAGAAGATCATTTGGTATTTGCTTTGTTTCCTACTCTCTAACAAATCTCCCAATGTCTAAAGTTAGTATGACACATTTCTTTTTTACTATCCAGGTGGCTACAGATGAAGACAGCGGAATCTTGCTGTACAAGGGTGACAAGGACCATATAGCAGTGGAGCTGTACAGGGGGAGAGTACGTGTTAGCTATGACACTGGAAATTACCCAGCATCTGCCATATACAGGTGAGTAACAACTGCACTTGTTTTTTTTCAGGACAAATTGGGTTTTCATTTGGTGGTAAATGGTAATGGATATCTCCTAATTTTTTTTTTTTCATTATCAAAAGAAAACTGGCCCAAAATAGTAAAAAACAATAATTTTTTTTTAAATTAGCTGTGTGTTGTTGTTACTTCCATAACCTACCACCAAAGAACAATCCAAAATAAACTTTCCAGCTCTTGACGATATCAATATATGTGGATGTTATTTGTTGTTTGTACCTGTAGTACAGCCCAGAAACAATAGTGCACATTTTGTTTTTTTTACTTAAAACACAGTTACACTAACTGCAACTGATACCAATTTTTAAAAATTGAAAAAAAAAAAAAAAATCCTGACCTTGACCCAAACACTAACCCTGGCATTGAACTAGATCAAACTTTGATCTAGGTAATTTTTATTTTACTTTTTAATCTTTATCTTTTTTTTTTTTTTTTTTACAAACAGTTTTTTTTCTCTCTGCAAGGAAAGAGAGAGATACAAAGCATTTCTTTCCTCCAGTCAGAGAGAAAAAAAACAAGGGGGCAGGCTTCACATTGACTGCTCACTGTGATAGCCAATCAGAGACTATCACAGTGATCGTGTGACCCCGAAATCGGGAGTCCCAGCTCCCAGTCGTTAAAACGGGACCTGGGGCTCTCAGTGACACCCCAGTCTTTGTGTTGAGAGCGCACCGTGTGGAGCGCTCCCAGCACAAAAGACAGGTATTCAAATATGCAGCCCCATGGAAAAAGCCCAGTACTTTGAGGCCGCATATTTGTGTTATGTCGGCACCAAGGGGTTAAAAGAGATGTATGTTCAAAACCAAAACCTTTCTGGCCACACTTCACTTGTGTGTCACAGGGGTACACTTACTTTTGTTCTCCTGTGACCCATAGTTAGCTGATAGCGGGCTAGTGCCCGCTATCAGCTTATGAGGCAGAGTCATTCCAGGCTCTGGAAGGATCCCGACAATATTGTCATGATCCACCTGGTTGCCCGAATAACAGCTAGCACCACCTATCAGTGTGTTGCTGCTGAGCCTGCTATGCTGTCCCTAGCTCGCTGCTTCAGTGAGAGCTGAAGGAGCAGAGAGCAGTGACTGATAGTCACTGCTCTCCACTCTGAGCAGACCAAGAGCTGAGCACACAGCGGTCATGTGATTGCTCAGTTCTTGGTCTTAAAGCCGACATGGACAGCCGCAGCATAGAGGTGAATATAAATTCAAATAAAAAAATGCAGCGCTTGAGTGTATAATACAGGGAATTAGCATGAATAACAGATTTAAATGTTCATATTTCAACATGCACCAGATTCCACATTCTTAAATTGTTAAAACAATAATCAGATGAGTAATGAAGATCTATCCGTCTAATCAAGGTGCATATAGTGATGGTGATGCTAAAATCATAAGTTCTGTGATGTATCCAAAGAAATCCGTGACTTCCGTGATAGGGGAATGACTGTATAATGCACTAACCAGATAACGCAAGTACATGCGCATTGGAGTATAATGACCTACTCCTGGTCACAGCCAGATGGTCCTCAGCGTGAAGCCCTCAAGGACACCAGTGCACCACTCTTGCCGTCTCCTACCCACCAGGGGGGGTGCGCCTCTTTACAGTAACACGAAATCACTTTGTATCCTCTATCGCCAGGATTGGTGTATTTCTTATCAGGAGATCATCTCAGGGGCTCAGCAATAAGACCCAAAAGAAAAAAATCTTGATAGTGTAGTATTTTATTCAAAGCACTTACATGAATGTCCAAAAAGCTGATGCATAGAAATCAGATGGCCGACAGTCAGATGCATGAAACCAGTGGATAATAAATGGTAGTGAGAGGTGTCCTTAAATTTCGTGGCAATTTATCCAGTGAATATAAATGTTTGTTTTTTTCATAGCTCTTAATAATTTCCATAGGTTAATTAAAGGATAGGAGAGGTCTTTTGATGTCTTTCATATGTGCTTAGCCAGCTGATAATGAATCAAACATATATTATTATTATTATTATACAGTATTTATATAGCGCCAAAAGGTTTGCTCAGCGCTGTACATTATAGTGGGGGACAGTACATGAGACAATGCAGTAACAAAACAGTACACAAGGGGTTCGAGGACCCTGCTCCTTGGAGCTTACAATGTAGGAGGGAGGGGAGAGTGGTACAGGAGGAAGTGGCTGTGGGGGATTGAGTGGTAGGAGGAGTGGAGGAGATCGGCTCTTAGTTGAGGGTGGGGTAGGCTTCCTTGAAGAGATGGGTTTTCAGGGTGTGCCTAAAGGTGAGGAGGGTAGGTGACAGTCTGATGGATTGGGGTAGTGAGTTCCAGAGGATGGGGGAAGTCCTGGAGAAGTCCTGCAGTCGGGCGTGGGAGGAGGAGACCAAGGAGCTAGAAAGTAGGAGGTCTTGTGAGGAGCGAAGAGTATGGGATGGGCGGTATTTTGGGCATCAGGTCGGTAAGGTAGTTTGGGGCAGCGTTATGAATGGCTTTGTATGTTAATGTTAGTAGTTTGAATTTTATACGTTGGGCAATCGGAAGCCAGTGGAGGGAATGACAGAGGGGGGTGGCAGAAGCAGAGCGGTTGCTGGTGTCTCAACTGCGTGAGCTCACATACTTCAATGCTGCAGTTTGGGTGATTAGAGAGCTGTTATCCAAGCCTTTTCAGAGAGTAGGGCTATATCCTTAATCCCCATCAGGCCCCTTCCACAAAGGGCGGACTCTGCAAGGAGTTCGCTTGCTCAGCGAGGGATCAATCTACTGATCCCTGATGAGCAGACGGATGGCTAGTCCTTGTCAACTCCACTTTGCTTATGCAGAGCAGACAGCCCACTCACCTCTGTGAGCTGTCAGATGTAAAGGGACTACCTGCACGTTTACACCCGACTACCTTCCCATCCACTCCACTAGATGGATGGGGAATGGTTTTCAGCTGATCAGATGCATGTCTATTTACACCCACCACTGCACAGAGGAGAATGGAGGGTTGGATTGGGCAGACCCCATCGATCCGCCTATGTGAAAGGGGTCTATCACTGGCAGCACGGCTTCACACACTCCCCAATCTAGTGATTGGACAGGGAAGGAACAGAAGCACACTGATTAGTAATCATTGCTCTGATCACTGTGCTCTCACCTACTATCAGTATGTTTCCTGATAGCATATACAAACTGACCCAAAGCTTTATTGGCCTCCAGTGCTGGCTTTATTTTCCAGCCTGATTGCAACTATAGAGCTGTTTACACGGAGGCTGATATTAACACAAATGTAGATGTATTGAATGAGTAACTGCATTAACTAGAGCTCAGATTTCATTCAAACATTGTATAAAGTATGATAATTACATATGCAGTCATAAGACTCCACATCTGCCCTCATGGCTCTCATTATGCCATATCTAAAGTGATTAATGGTGAATTCAATCTAAAGCAGTATGGAAGACTATTAGTAGTATGATATTTAGCCTACTGGTAAAAAGTATTATTTCATTACAAAGTCATTATTTTATGATGCAGAGACAGGTAATTAATGCTTGCTTAGCATGGCTGACACAAGTCGATCTAGTGCATTATGAGCACAGCACATAATACAGTCTCCTTCCCATTCCTTCTCCTAGGTGTTTCATATGCAGGCTAACCTGTGTTTGGCCATCATACAAAATAAACACTGCCAAATAAAGCTTAGTGTGACGTGCCTCTCGATGGAAACGGTGTGATTACTGCACACATCTGGCGCTGGCATGTCTGCAAGAGGTGCCAGCGCTCGCTCGCTGGCCTTTACCTACATTTTTCACAAATCTGTTTAATCACAATCCCAATCATAAACCTCATTATGCAACATACAATGATATTGTAGATGATTACCACATGTTTACCCATCTGTTGTCAGTTCTTGGTCCATTCTTGTGTTTCTTCTCAAGGCCTAGCATTTGTATTACGAAGTGATTTTTAATGGGTTCCACGCAGGAGGTAAATTCCTGAATGGAAATATCTCATAAGGTCTAATACCTTCAGCTACAGAACTAAGACACTGCCAGTGCAATTTAATTCCATCGCTGGATGAGTAAATGTTATCTCTAACTACAATGGCCACAAAACAAAGGTTTTATAAAAACGCATTAAACAAAGAGAAAAATGTGGCCGTTTTATGGTAAACTGCAGCAATGCCAAGTATGTGTGCACATGCAGGCATACATATATACAAACTAGGGCCAATTCGGAAAGGAGACAATTAACCTACCAGCATGTGTTTGGAGTGTAGGAGGAAATAGGAGTACCCCAAGGAAACTCCTGTAAGCACAGGGAGAATGTGCAAACTCCATGCTGTGCTCTGAGCAGGATGTGAACCAGGGACTCTGCTGCTGCAAGGCCAAAATGCTAACAACTAAACCACTGGGGTTGATTTACTAAACCTGGAGAGTAGAAAATCTGGTGCAGCTTTGCAGAGAAACCAACCCGTGTCCAGCATTTATTGTCAAAGTTTAACTGAAAACAGTGGCATCCCTAGGGGGTGCGTGGGGTGTGGGCTGCACTGGGTGACACCATCACAGGGGATGCAGGAGTAGAATGCCAGCAGAGCTTCTGGGCTCTGTGAAGGTCCTGGTCAATTATTGGGGTGATCCTGGATTCCCGGCACAGTGGCAGCTGCCCCCCAGTGTAGAGGTAAAATGAGTATCCCATGAAGATTTGTATCCCCTGAAGCAACTGTGCATGTGTCGGTTTCAGGCCGAAGAAGCCGATCACCGATCTTTGACATTAGCACAGAGCTGCCACAGTTAACCCCTTACAGACTGCAAACCACTGAAGCTGATCTCGCGTATAGATTCAGCCTATACGGGGTTAACTGATCTTGCAACCCGTAGTGATTCATAGGATCAGCTTCAGCGGTTTGCAGCCTGTAAGGGGTTAACTGTGGCATCTCTGTGCTAAAGTCGGAGATCAGCTTCTTCGGCCTGAAACCGGCACATGTGCAGTTGCTTCAGGGGATACATATCTTCACAGGATACTCATTTTATCGCTATACTGGCACTGCTCCTTCCTCTCTGGAGGGGTGACACCACGTGTTACCGCACCGGGTGACACCAACCCTAGGGATGCCTCTGATTGAACAAGCTGAAGTTAGAAGCTGATTGGCTACCATGCACAACTACACCATATTTTACACTCTCTAGTTTTAGTAAATCAACCCCACTGTGCTGCTCTTGTTTTATTGATTAGTGGAAGTTTGTAAATTTGTTTATATGGGTTGGTTGTATTTCTAGATGAGGGGCCGACGGCTACACAAACCTTTTTTGATGTATTTCACCACTTCTGGCTTGCTCACAAGGATAGATGACTTTCCCTATCCTTTTGAGCAAGCCAGAAGTGGTGAAACGTGTCAAGGAAGGCTGCTTTCGGAGACATCACTGTATGCAACCAATGCATTGATTGTTAAAAATACTGCAAGAAGAGCTAATTAGAGAGCTGGTGAGTTTTTCTATCTTCTCATTAAGGCGTTCGTAAACTCTAAAAATTAACCTCTCTTAGGCAGGCCATAGACGGGCTGTTTATAGGCCAAATTTTTGGACGATAAATGAAAAATCGTGTCGGCCCCGTTGCCGATGCTGCCACCCATGTCCACGAAAAACGGACGTTTTTCGCAGATTTTCCAGCATGACTGATAAAAATAAATGAGGAGATCCGCGCAAAACGGCCGACAGGCTGGCCCACTAATGGTGTGAATATCGGACGATTTTTCGTGCGGACGAAAATTCGGCCAATAAATGACCCGTCTATGGCCTGCATTATTTGCTATTATTTGATCAAATAATAAATTTTAATAAAATTATTTAATAATAAATTGTAATAATAATTTTTTAATAAAATTTGCTATCTTGTCAAAAATTTAGGGCTGCCCTGTGTCTTGTAGTCTCTGTCTGTGTTATTGGAAAGAGACTATTTAGCCCTCCCTAATGTTATCTTGCTCTAAAAGTCAATTAGTCCCTATGCTTTCAATTAGAATAGCTTAACAAAAGACAATGGGCAGGGCTGACACCACTTAGTACACACAAATGCAATGAGCAGGGCTGACACCACTTAGTACACACAAATGCAATGGGCAGGGCTGACACCACTTAGTACACACAAATGCTGTGTGGATAACCCATGGCAGGTATTTTTCTGGACTTGCAAGGTCTTGTAAGGGATAAAATGTGGAAATGTGCATGTATTGCAGAGATGCACTGCATATGTTTTTTTTTTAATTTTGTCTTGATATACACTTTAAAGAATTGGCACATCTGGTATGACCTCCATCAGACTCTCAGGTTCCTCTTCCTATGCAGTAATTCTTCCCTTAGGGATACAAGGCGCTGATGATTAGAAAAGCGCGTCTTCCCTTGATTGGGCATATTGTGTGCATAGTACATCCAGCATAGTACTAATTAATAAATCAGTTGAACACCATGGAGCAAAAGCCATAAAACAGCAGTAAGGGAATCTGTTACACAGCATGACACTTTACTGAGCTGCTTTCCAAGAAACGTTAAATAGACTGGCGACCAAAAAACAGCATTCTAAGCAGTCAATACATATAACGACTTCCTGAGTTTATTCTTTGTAATCCAGAATTAATTTGCAGTTCTTTCTCACCTTCATATTCATATCCCCAAATTAGCCATTAAAAAACTACCCAAGCATGCTGAAATTGGGGTCTCTCAATAAAGTATGCAGGAACCCTAATCGATTGGCATTTATTTTGTTAATCAATTGGCATTTTTTAAAATAAAATACTTTAGATCATGCCTGCAAAATGTATACTAAAATAGCCACTAGTAGTCTTCATCAGAAGCCTGTGTGACAGGGTGACAGCACAGGAATACAAATAGGAGCCAGGGACAGGGCGTTGTCATCAAATAACAGGAAGTTCCTGAACAAGCACCTTAATGGCAGGATCACCAGGTATTATTTTAATGAACCATGCAGTTTTAATAAGAGTGCAAATTACTTCCAAAATAACATTAATATATTAAAATGAATAAGAGATGGAAGTAATTTGGTTTAAATAAGCTTTAAATTACCCATGCGTGGCTTAGATGGAAGACCTAAATTCATATTTATTTTTATAACCACGTATTTAGCTGTTTTAGGGAGGGGGAAGGGGTTGCACTTTAAACCTGATCTGACAAATTTGTGTGGTTGTGTCTATGGTATATTAACTTGTCATGTTTTCCTTGTTCTCTTCTTGATACAGCGTAGAGACGATAAATGATGGCCACTTTCACACTGTGGAACTTGTAAGCCTAGATCAAACACTGTCACTGATAGTGGATGGAGGAAACCCTAAGACCATCACTAATTTGTCAAAACAATCTTCTCTTGGCTTTGACTCTCCACTTTATATAGGAGGTAAAAGATATTGGTTTGTCACGCCACTGATAATGGTGCATTTGTTTATCACATTTCACTATGATTAATGCATGCTCTGACCTCTTGATGACACCCCAAACTCCTGATGAAGTATATAGATTTCAGGACGTATGATGTGTTTTAAAAGATTGGAGGTTTTCCTATAGGGTTGATTCTCTGACATACAGAGAATTGTCTCCTATCTACAGTATCTCATATGGTTGATTGCAGTGGAAGGCAACCTGACTTGCTACATGTGATATTCATGAGCACATGCGACATTGTATGGTTGTGAGTAGTTATCACAGCGTTCTATGGCTTATGTAGTAAGTCAGGCTGACCTATACTTGTTTATTTATTGCAGATATTTATATATCGCCAACAATTTACACAGCGGTTTTTCATAATGTACATTGACATCAGTCCATGCCCTTAAGGAGCTTACAGTCTAAGCTCCCTATCTCACATACATACTACAGACAGTTTGGGCAGGAGCCAATTAACCCTACCATCATGTATACTTGTCACAGGCCTGTGGACAGTTACATTGTACCAAAAATCCTGCTCATAAAAAGGCTTGACTAACTGCTTAAAGGGCATCAACATGTGTGGAGAGAAAAAAATGGAAGGGTGGGCTGCCTTTGACCTATGAAGGTTTTGAAGCACTTTGAAAAGGTGTAAATAAATCATACTACACAAATGTAGCCCAACCTACCATATCAGCTTGGCTAACAATGTAAATGGCCACTTTATGGTGGTTAGATATGAAAGAGTTGGACCTCACAGTGATTTCCTGAGACGCTGAATGACAGTGGGCTTGTCATATTTAGCTCTCGGTAAAAAAGCCTATTGGCAGTGTTGTGGCACCAACAAATAGCGTGGAGGCACACTGGATGGTAGTAAATCCTCAACGTGGTACATTTGATCTGCACTAAAATGTTCATTATTAGAAAAAAAAACAAGTTCAGTCCTCTACATTTCCTTTATGTACTGTATGCCTACAGTTTAGAGACTGTGATTTAATTTTGATTGACAATTTAGACAATGAAAATACCTTCACATACAAGACATTCTACTCCCTTTATAGAGGTGTGAGAAGAAGCAAAAACCACTTTCTAGAATGATTACATTATCTTTAGTTGCTCTCGACAAAATGTATCCTATATGGAACTCTAGAAGAGACTTGCTGCTGTAGATTGCTTGTTCAGGGGCAATTAGAAGGTTTTGGATTTTGAAATATTGTAAGGCTGTTTTTATGTGTACAAGGGCCTTGTGCATTTCATTAGAAGTATTTTAACATTCTTTTTGCACTGCAGGTATGCCTATAAAAAACAATGTTGCCGTTTTGCGGCAAGCTCCTGGACAGAATGGAACCAGCTTCCAAGGCTGCATCCGGAACATGCATGTAAACAACGATCTACAAGACTTTAGGAAGTTTAATCTGCCGACGGGAGTTGTTCCTGGATGTGAACCATGCCACAAGAAATTGTGTGTGCATGGAACTTGTCTGGCCACAAGTCAGTCTGGATTCACTTGCGAGTGTGAAGGAGGTTGGTCAGGACCACTCTGTGATCAACAGTCCAACGACCCTTGTCTGGGAAATAAGTACGTGTTTGTATTTGGAACTCTTAGTATTCTTGGGGAAAATTGTTATCTTGCAATTACCAGGTCGTATTGGTTACTGCTACTCTGACTGGGCCTAAATAGGTCATTAATCTGTGCTACTGGCTACCAGTCCTGGAAACTGCCACTGCTGCTGTCCTCTTTTCATTACTATACACATTCCTAAACCTGTGGCATCAGCTCTTGAACAGTTAGGTACAGTCTAGAACTTTCACTACTTTGAAAAATCAGAATGGAGATCCTCTTTGTTCTGACAGGCTGTACATCAAAATCAAAAGGTTTATTTTGACCCAATCCTGATATTTCAGTAGCTTACTTCTCCTGTTGTATTCTCTGTATTGTAAAGCTCAACAGAAATAGGCCTCTTTGTATTGTTGGATAAAGGAACTCTGGCACAAAGATTGTGCTGTGCCAGCAGAGTCCCTGAAAAACATAAGCAGTCATTGATTACGTCAGCCTGCTGGCATCTATCTAAAATGAAAAAAAAAGCACATTAGGAGGACTTACTTTTTAAAGGAAACCTGTCAGGAAACAAGCACATGGGCCGTCATTGCTGACCTTCCATCTGAAAATCAAAGTTGCCTGAATATCTCTGGCTTTGGTAATTTCTGAGTCATTGACCTTAGACAGGTATGCAGCTAGTCAGAACGGAACACCTGCATGGCATACTTACCTCAAGTCAATGACTATAGATGGCCAGGCCACACAAACGAGGTGAATGGAGGAGTCCCCCTCCCCATCAGAACTTTGTATTCTGACAGTTGGACTCTGCTGTCAGAATACACTGATTAGTGGCTGCAGGTGCTGTTCGACAAAAGCTTTCCAGCTTGTCCCTTCAATAGAAGTCAATCTAATGATTGTTAGAGTGAGTTCTTTCAAACAGGATGGCCACACACTGATCATATTTTGGCTAACCCTGGTGAACTGTCCGAATTTCAATTTGTCTATGGCCAGATTAAAGCAGTATTAAACCCAAAACCAAAATTATAATATATTGCAGCTTACCAGTCATTAGATATGGTGGCTGCATTAGTTTTCTTTTTTTTTTTTAAGTTTTGTTCTCTCCTTTGGACAGCAGCATTGTCAGTCTGGGGGGAGTGGAGTATACATTAAGATGGGGTTTCTTATAACTTTGAGCACTCGGGATCACATTCACATGACACCACTTTTGGAGTCCTTTGTTTCAAAGATGGCTTCCCAAGCAGTTATGTTTTAATTTATTATCACATGACTGCAGTGGCACATGAGTACCGTTGACAATTTATGCTTTGATAAATGTAATTAAGAGCACAAAACATTTGGAATCCCAGCAATTTTCTTACCTCAGTGATTTGGCAAGTAAAAAGTTTTAAAATAATTCATATGATAAAGTGTGGCTGCAAACAGAGATCCTAGTCTGAAGTGTATGCTCTTTTATCTTTGTGAGAATGATGTCTGATTTCCATTTTCTGGCATAGGTTTTCTTATCAGTTGTGAACTGCTCAACCTTACATTTTTCAGCCTGTGTATTCCAGTATTTTTTTATTTTTATATTGAATTTATGCTGCTCTGAGAGATCCCAGCTGAGGGATGTTCAGAGTACCTAGCACATATGTTCCTTTTGGCAGAAATACAGTATATACTTGGAGACAATTTATTTGTTTATTATAATTGCTGAGAAGAGTGTGAAATTCTCCCTAACATTTTTAAAGGGGGAGTTTCCTGGTAGTGGAGACTGGCAGTTGGAGATGTCTTCCAGATGTATTTTTAGTGCATGAACAATTCTTATTTCTCCGTATAATTGGCTGTTGTTGATTACACACAAACACACACAAACGTACACATACACATATATATGTATATATATATATTGCCAAAAGTATTGGGACACCCCTCCAAATCATTGGATTCAGATGTTCCAATCACCTCCATGACCACAGGTGTATAAAATCACCTAGGCATGCAGACTACTTCTACAAACATTTGTGAAAGCATAGGTCGCTTTCAGGAGCTCAGTGGTTTCAAGTGTGGTACTGTGATAGGTTGCCACCTGTGCAATAAGTCCATCCATGAATTTCCTACCTACTAAATATTCTACGGTCAACTCTTAGTGGTATTATTATAAAGTGGAAGCAACTGGGAACAACAGCAACTCAGCCATGAAGTGATAGCCATGTAAAATGACAGAGTGGGGTCAGCACATGCTGAAGCGCAGAAGTCACCAACTGTCTGCAGAGTTAATAGCTAAAGATCTCCAAACTTTGTGTGGCCTTCCGATTAGCATAACAGTGAGTAGAGAGCTTCATGGAATGGGTTTCCATGGCTGAGCAGCTGCATCCAAGCCTTACATCACTAAGTGCAATGCAAAGCGTTGGATGCAGTGGTGTAAAGCACGCCACCACTGGACTCTAGAGCAGTGGAGACATGTTCTCTGAAGTGACGAAACACGCTTTTCTGTCTGGCAATCCGATGGATGTGCCTGGGTTGGTGGTTGTCAGGTGAAATGGTACTTGCCTGACTGCATTGTGCCAAGTGTAAAGTTTGGTGGAGGGGGAATTATGGTGTGGGGATGTTTTTCAGGGGTTGGGCTTGGCCCCTTAGTTCCAGTGAAGGTAACTTTTATGGTGTCAGCATAGCAAAACATTTTGGACAATTTCATGCTGACAACTTTGCAGGAACAGTTTGGGGATGGCCCCTTCCTGTTCCATCATGACTACGCACCAGTGCACAAAGCAAGATCCATAAAGACAAGAATTAGTGAGTTTGGGATGGAGGAACTTGACTGGCCTGACTCCTGACCTCAACCCAATAGAACACCTTTGGGATGAATTAGAGTGGAGATTGCGAGCCAGGCCTTCTCGTCCGACATCAATGCCTGACCTCACAAATGCATTTCTGCAAAGAATGGTCAAACATTGCCATAGACACACTCCTAAACCTTGTGGACAGCCTTTCCCTGAAGAGTTGAAGCTGTTATAGCTGCAAAGAGTGGACCAACTCAATATTGAACCCTATGGACTAAGACTGGGATGCCATTAAAGTTCATGTGTGTGTAAAGGCAGGCGTCCCAATACTTTTGGCAATTTAGTGTAAATGTAACATTCTCTATCGTACATTTCGGGGATTTTAGGAGAATACCCAAGACTCTTTGGCCGCACCCAAAAAGTGAACATGCATAAATTGTTGAAGTGAGGCAGATCCCCTGCAGGGAAAACTCATTGGCTTTCAAGCTAATGAGTGATTTAAAGTGTACGTAAACCCAAGCAACAAACTATTTTTATTTTCTCCCTTTTGGCCGCAGGACAGTCCTATTTAATTTTCTCTCTGAAGGCAACTGAACTCTTACCACACCTCGTAGGAATAGACAATGCCAAGACATCATCCTTGCCTTGATTTCCTTATTTTCCATTAGGATGCCTTTGTTTAATTAGTGGCCTATCTTACATCCATTCAATATACATATCACAAGTTTGGGCAGCTGTCAAATCTTGTAATGTGACATTGGACTTTTCTTGCTATTTTACAGATGTATACATGGTAGCTGCCTGCCGATCAATGCATTTTCCTACAGCTGCAAATGTTCCCCGGGCTATGGTGGAGTTTTGTGTGATGAAATTGAAGAACAGTTTAACCCTTGCCAGGCTCTTAAATGTAAACATGGCAAATGCCGACTCTCAGGCCTTGGGAAAGCCTACTGTGAGTGCAACAGTGGCTATACCGGAGACAACTGTGATAAAGGTAAATCATCATAAACATCCAGTTTCTACTTCTACAAACTGAAATGGAAAGTGATCTTGTGTAGATATATGAATTCCTATATAATTCATATTTTAGGGGTGTACTGAGGAGCGCTTGGTACGAAAGCATAGGACCAGAATATGGGCTATCTGTACCATATTGCAACCCCAGATATCCTATGAAGGAAATTCACTTTATCGTAGAAATCAACTTTCACTTCTAGCAGTCCAGCATTATCACACACACATCAGACATATAAAATTCAATTTAACTGGAAACAGGAAATGGTATTGTTTTGTGCAGTAAAATTTAGTAACATTGGGGTGGATTTACTAAAGACAAATAGGCTGTTCACTTTGAATGGAATGTTGCACTTTGTAACGGAATTTCCCTGAGAGTTTAGTGATGGTGGTGAAATTTCAATTTGCATAGAATATCCAATCATGTGCAAGTTAAAAAAACAAAAATCAGCATTTTGCCCCTACATGATTGCATGATAGACGTCAGCAGAGTTTCAATTCATTCACTGGAAGAAAAGTCTCTTGCAAAGTGCAACTTCCCTTGCAAAGTGAACAGTCTGTTTGTCTTTAGTAGTCCAGCATTATCACACACACACACATCAGACTCTCTTCCTATCTATCACAGTGCTCCTTTAGTGTTACCTATAACGCTGCCACATCCTCTTCACTCCCCCTCTCTGTTGGGGTCCCTCAAGGTTCTGTCCTCGGGCCCCTTCTCTTCTCCATCTACACCTCCTCATTTGGCCAATTGATACACTCTCACGGCTTCAACTACCTTCTCAATGCAGACGACAAGCAAATCTATCTCTCTACCCCTCACCTCACCCCTTCAGTCTCCGCCCGTATCACAAGCCTACTGAGCGACATATCGGATTGGATGTCACTCCACTTCCTCAACCTAAATCTTTCCAAAATTGAGCTCCTAGTTTTCCCCCCAGCCCGCGCCCCCCTTCTGACTTCTCCATCAAGACCAACAACACAACCATCAGTCCCACCCCTCAAGCCAAAGTACTAGGTGTCATCCTAGACTTCAATCTGTCCTTTCAGCCCCAAGTCCAATCGCTGACAAACTCATGTAGACTTCACCTCCGCAACATCTCCAAAATACATCCGTTCCTAACCCCGGAAACCACTAAGCAACTCATTCAATCCCTTATTATTTCACGCCTTGACTACTGTAACTCCCTCCTCATCGGCTTACCTCACCGCAGGCTATCCCTGCTTCAGTCTATCTTGAATGCTGTGGCCAGACTCATCCACCTTAAAAAAACCGCTCCGTATCCGCCACCCCCCTCTGCTAATCCCTCCACTGGCTTCCGATTACACTACGGATAAAATTCAAAATGCTAACATTGATGCATAAAGCTGTTCATAATACTGCCCCAAACTACATCACCGATCTGGTATCCAAATACCACCCAAAACGTACTCTCCGCTCCTCACAAGACCTCCTACTCTCTATTTCCCTGGTCTCCTCCTCCCATGCCCATCTCCAGGACTTCTCCAGGGCTTCCCCCATCCTCTGGAACTCCCTACCCCAATCCATCAGACTATCACCTACTCTCCTCACCTTTAGGCGCACCCTGAAAACCTATCTCTTCAGGGAAGCCTACCCCGCCCTCAGCCAATTACTGAACTCCTCCACTCTTCCTACCAATCCATCCCCCACAGCTATTTCCTCCTGTACTACTATCCCCTCCCTCCTAGATTGTAAGCTCCAAGGAGCAGGGCCCTCGAACCCCTCGTGTATTGAATCGTATTGTTACTGTACTGTCTTGTGTACTGTCTCCCATTATAATGTACAGCGCTGAGCAAACTATTGGCGCTATATAAATCCTGTATAATAATAATAGTAAATCATCCCAATTGTCATGATACAAAAGATCTGTAAAAGAGGACTGACTGTAAGGCTAGGTTCACATTTGCGAGCTGGTTGTGGGTGCAGGAATCACATCTGTTCCCTTGACCACCCACAGCTGAATCACGTTGCTCTTGTGAGACGTGCGATGCTGCCATTTACAGTTGTGTTCAAAATAATAGCAGTCACACATCACTAATCTGATCAATCACTGTTTTTGGTAGAAATTATATTTCTACATGGCAAATAATTGACTAGCAAGTGTAGTAGAGTAATAGAAATCCAACAGACCCAACAGTCATGACATGCATGCTGCTGATTCTGTGTAATTGAATCACTAATTGAAAGGGGCATGTTCAAAATAATAGCAGTGTGGAGTTCTATTAGTGAGGTCATTCATTCTTTGAAAAACAGGTGGCAATTATTGCCCTTATTTAAGGAAGGAAGGCAGCAAATGTTGTACATGCTGGTTACAGTGCATTTCTCTCTGAAATTCTGAGGAAAATGGGTTATTCCAGACATTGTTCAGAAGAACAGCGTACCTTGATTAAAAAGTTGATTGGAGAGGGGAAAACACATAAAGAAGTGCAGAAAATGATAGGCTGCTCAGCTAAAATGATCGCAAATGCTTTAAAATGGCAACCAAAACCTGAAAGATGTGGAAGAAAGCAAAAAAACTACCATTCGAATGGATAGAAGAATAGCCAAAATGGCAAGGACTCAGCCAACAATCAGCTCCAGGAAGATCAAAGAAGGTCTAAAGTTACCTGTGAGTACTGTTACAATTAGAAGACGCCTATGTGAAGCCAAGCTATCTGCAAAAAGCCCCGCAAAGTCCCACTGTTGAAAAAAAAGACATGTGCTGAAGAGGTTATAATTTGGCAAAGAGCACGTTGACTGGCCTAAAGAGGAATGGCGCAACATTTTGTGGACTGATGAAAGTAAGATTGTTCTTTTTGGGTCTAGTGGCCGGAGACAGTTTGTCAGACGACCCCCCAAACACTGAATTCAAGCCACAGTACACTGTGAAGACAGGGATGCATGGTTGCGCAATCATCATGATATGGGGATGTTTCTCATACTACGGTGTTGGGCCTATTTATCGCATACCAGGGATCATGGATCAGTTTGAATACATCAGAATACATGAAGAGCTCATGCTGCCTTATGCTGAAGAGGAAATGCCCTTGCAATGGGTGTTGCAAAAAGACAACGACCCCAAACACACCAGTAAACGTGCAACATCTTGGTTCCAGACCAACAAGATTGACGTTATGGAGTGGCCAGCCAAATCCCCGGATCTTAATCCAATAGAAAACTTGTGGGGTGACATCAAAAATGCAGTTTCTGAAGCAAAACCAAGAAATAGAGAAGAACTGTGGAATGTAGTCCAATCATCCTGGGCTGGAATACCTGTTCACAGGTGCCAGAAGTTGGTTGACTCCATGCAACACAGATGTACAGCAGTTCTCAGAAACAGTGCTTATACAACTAAATATTAATGAAGTGATTCAAAGGAAAGCAAAATCTTCAAACATTTTTCAGTTTATATAGTGAATGTTTGAGTTTGTAAAGAAGAATACAAACACTGCTATTTTTTTGAACAGTCTAATATTCACTTTTCTTCAGTTTTTTTTAGAGGAAAAACACAAATTTGATATATTTTTCTTCATGTTTTGATTTGGAATAGAATGTGTAGTGTTCCCAATGCATTTGTGTGTATGGAAATAAAAGCTATTAGAAGGATTTTGAGCTTTATTCACTTTTTTCAACACACTGCTATTATTTTGAACACAACTGTATTCTGAATGTATTGCAGTGCAGAGAGCTGGAAATTGCAAGCTAGTTTACAAGAGCCTGAAATTGTGCCTGCTATCCACTGATCATGGGTGCAATACTTTGCAGGATCCTGTAAAAATAAATAAATAAATGCTAATAATATTAATCAAAAACGCCTATGTTTTCATGAAAATGCATATGTGTATTTGTTTCTTTAAAGTGAACTGAGCTTTTAATCTGTAATTGTATCTCTCTGGATTTATGGGGAGAGAGACTCCTAAGCGTCACTACATAAAGCAGTCGTAAACAAACAGGGTTTTCAGTTTTCCAACACATCCTGTGTGCATCTACCAATGGGCCTAAATCTTTTTTAGCTTTGCTGATCACTCTCTGTGTGTTTTCTGTTAAAGTGTTACTAAACCCAGGACCCTGCATTCATTATATCTGGTCTCCCACAGTACACAGAACATAGAAATGCAGTTATTTTAGTAAATATAAACTGCTACATACTTTTTTTCATTAGCAGTTAGAGCAGTCTTGTGACTTCTATCACTGTCCAGCAGAGCTCTGGTTAAAGCTTGTAGGAGGAGTTTTCTTTCTCTCCTATGAGGCTGCATAACCCCTGACCCTCTGTCTGGAGAGCGCTGATAGACCCTGCTCTGATCACATGCACTCTCCGAAGAAAAAAAAAAAAAAAACCTCTCTAGCAATACACACCAAACTGAGCATTTGCACCTTGCCCCAAGGTTCTGTTCTATCAGCAGATGGATTGGGGACAGTAGAAGGGGAGGTTTAGAAAAGACATGATCAAAAATCCTTTTTACACAAGGTGGAGGATTAATATAACAAGCATGCTTCACTGCATATACAGCCTGATTTTACTGTCGTGGGTTTAGCAACACTTTAACTTTTTATTTCTGTAATGAACGATGACTTCACACTTTGCCTTATCACATACTCTGCTCTTCACTCCTTTCAGCCTCCGCTGATATATCTCAAAGAATTCCACAGGTGAGATGGTTGAATAACAAGCGTTCACTTCTCTCCCCTCCCACCTCCATTCATTGTGGTGTCTCCTTCCGCCATATATCAATGTCTTCTCCTCTTTTCCCTCAGCTGGCATTTATTTATTTTGTCTTCAGCATCGATGTGACTGGGGGGTGGGGGGTTTGGGGCCAGGGAAGTGATTAACAGATGGCTCATTTTTAGCTGGTTTATACTTTGGTAATTTATGAAGCTTGTGGAATGTAACTTGTATTAAGCAGCAGATTGAATAATATTGAGCTAGAGGTCTAATAAATTAAATTGCATGCTCTCTCAAACAGTTCCCCGATGTAAACAAAACCAGCTGTTCAGACTAAGTACACTGGAAATGGACTTTTATATTAAAGAAAAGATTTAAGCAACCAATTTTGTTGTCATTGTAATAATGCTGTATATGTTGTTCATAGAGAGTGTGAGAAATTTTGTAAAAAAAAAAAAAAAAAATTAGTTATTAGGATGTAGAAAAGTTAAAATGATGTTGGCCCATGATTTGTATTTAACATTTTTAACCCTCTGTTATCCAGCATAAAGACCCCAAAGATCAAATTTTCAGGCAACCTTTAAATCAGGAGATTTCAGGTCTGCAGAAAGAATTTGAAAATTCTGCCATTTGCCAGAAGGGATGGCGTGTCAACAAGTGTTAGCTGGCTGCTGGTCCCAATGGGCTGCTCGGCTTAAATCATATCTGTCCTTAAAAAAAAAAAACAAAGAAAATTTGGAAATAAGTGCTCAGAAATTTGAGGCATTTGGGGATTGATTAAGCTTTTGTTGACATTATTACAACAATCAATTTTAAAATGTTTCTACAATATGTCACTTTAATACCTCAAGAGGCAAATCTGTTTTATAAATGAGGGTGTTTTAAATCTAGTATGACGGGTTTTATGAGTTAAAACTTAGTTCCGGATTTTGTACAACTTTACTAGAAGCTGAGTTAGTGGAGGTTCGTTTGAAAGGTACTGGGGTCAGAGGCAGCACCTGTTAAATCAGAGTGATTGGGCTAACATTTGCTAGGGGATGTTGCTTAGATGTTGGGGAGAAGATTAGTCTACTGTGGCCATTTATTGGAAACAGGGGAAACAGAGGTGCAACTGGGTTAAGCAGCAATGATCCAGGCTAGGGTTAAATTGGTTGGAGGGTAGAGTGACTACGAAAAAAGAAACAAATCTGCTAAGGAACATGTTTAACACATATTGCCTTGGGGTATTTGCATATGGCTAAAAATAGAACCGCACCCTTAGCAAACTAATATTTTCATTATGGTTTTCCTACAGACTAATAACTGGTCTGTATTGAATGATGGGTAACAGTCACCATAAGCTGTTTCTGAACGTTGATTACAGTGGATTGAGATTGTACAAGTAAATGTTACCATTTGCCAATTTTGACATAGTCTTGTATATCATGTAATTTCACTGATACTATGGTGTGATGAAAATGATCACAGCACCCTAAAATGGCAGACGGCCATTGTGGTTGGGATAATACTACAAAACTGGATGGTCAGGGTGCAGCACAATTTAGTAAAGACAGTGAGCCCCACACCTCTTTACTGAATTTATGTGGTTTTGCTTCTTAGGGATAATGGAAACATTCATTGTCATGAAACATTCATTTAAAGCTGAACTCCAGTGAGACATCTAACTACATTGTTAAAGAGTTAACTTTTGCAAGTCATCAACTATTATATTTTAGAGTAATGTTTCTGAACCTTTTTTCAGTCAAGACCCTTTAAGATTCTGTCCATCTCGAGGCACTCCATTCTAAAGTGGAAAAAACTAAACGAATAGTTTACAGAACGCAGCAACATCCACACATGTAGGACACACTATTTTAAAAAAACTATTTGATTTTGTTGAATACAAAACTGAGATGAATTGTGTTCTTTTCAATACTGGCTTGGAGTTCAGCTGTTAGTCATCACTCAGTTACCCTCTTCAAACTGACCCTGTCTCTGAAAAAAATGAAATAAAAAAGCTCCTGCAAAAGAACACATTTAACTTACTTGTGCTAGTGCCTGTCACTTCATTGCTACCTTCCCCTGTGTCATCCTGTTCTTTCTGCCCACCCCTACATTACTCCTGGACACAGCAATGATGTAGGGACCAGAGAGATGAACCACAAAACATGGCAAGTAACACCGGTTTCCAAATACACTGCTCAAAAAAATTAAAGGAACACTTTTTAATCAGAGTATAGCATCAAGTCAATTAAATTCCTGGGATATTGATCTGGTCAGTTAAGTAGCAGAGGGGGTTGTTAATCAGATTCAGCTGCTTTGGTGTTAATGAAATTAACAACAGGTGCACTAGATAGGCATCAATGAGATGACCCCCAAAACAGGGATGGTTTTACAAATGGAGGCTTCTGACATTTTTTTTCCCTACTCATCTTTTCTGTTTTTCACTAGTTTTGCATTTGGCTAGGGTCAGTGTCACTACTGGTAGCATGGGGTGATACCTGGACCCTACAGAGGTTGCACAGGCAGTCCAACTCCTCCAGGATGGCACATCCATACATGCCATTGCCAGAAGGTTTGCTGTGTCTCCCAGCACAGTCTCAAGAGCATGGTGGAGATTCCAGGAGACAGGCAGTTACTCTAGGAGAGCAGGACAGGGCCGTAGAAAGTCATTAACCCATCAGCAGGACCAATATCAGCTCCTTTTGTGCTAGGAGGAACAGGATGAGCACTGCCAGAGCCCTACAAAATGACCTCCAGCAGGCCACTGGTGTGAATGTCTCTGACCAAACAATCAGAAACAGACTTCATGAGGGTGGCCTGAGGGCCCGATGTCCTCTAGTGGGCCCTGTGCTAACTGCCCAGCGCCAGAGTTCGATTAGCATTTGCCATTGAACACCAGAATTGGCAGGTCCTCCACTGGCACCCTGTGCTTTTCACAGATGAGAGCAGGTTCACCCTGAGCACGTGACTGACGTGAAAGGGTTTGGAGAATCCGTGAGAATGTTATGCTGCCTGCAACATCGTTCAGCATGATCATTTTGGAGGTGGGTCAGTGATGGTCTGGGGAGGAATATCCATGGAGGGACGCACAGACCTCTACAGGCTAGACAATGGCACCCTGACTGCCATTTGGTATCGGGATGAAATCCTTGGACCCATTGTCAGACCCTATGCTGGTGCAGTGGGTCCTGGGTTCTGCTTGGTGCATGACAATGCCTGGCCCCAGGTGGCAAGAGTATGCAGGCAGTTCCTGGAGGATGAAGGAATTGATACCATTAAATGGCCCCCATGCTCGCCTGACCTAAATCCAATAGAACACATCTGGGATATCATGTTTCAGCCCATCTGACACCATCAGGTTTCACCTCAGACTGTCCAGGAGCTCAGTGATGCCCTGGTCCAGATCTGGAGGAAATACCCCAGGACACCATCCGTCGTCTCATTAGGAGCATGTCCCGATGTTGTCAGGCATGCATACAAGCACGTGGGGGCCATATTCAGTCCTCTGTAGATTGATAATTTCCATTTCCATCAATCGATAGGGCATCCTTACATTCCTAACACATTACCCAGTCCATCTCTGTATAGATATCCAGCATGATATTTTTCCCCATTGAGATTTGATGTGTTTCAAAGTGATCCTTTAATTTTTTTGAGCAGTGTAGAAAGTGTGGCTTAAAGTAGAATCCTAGGGAAAACTTTTTTTTTTTAATTTTGGATAGAGTAAGGGAGGGTTATAACCCCTGACAGTTTATTTTTTGCTGGCTGTGTCCCTTTGGAGAGATTTTTTTTTTTAAACTTATTGAGTTTATTGAGAGTAAATAAAAAATGGCCATACAATCTATTGGCGAGATCTCCCTTTACTTCCTGTCCCATAGCCAAAACAGGAAGTGAGAGAAAATCACTGCAAATTAGGGGAATTCCTTGGGGACCCCCAGATCACCAGAACTAGTAACCCCATTGGAAAATTTTCCCTCTTTTACTTTCTTGGGGACAGCGCAAATTTGAGGTTTCTTTTACTTTCACTTTGGATGATAAAGGTAAATAGGACAAATAGAGAGGGTGAATCTACCTAACGGGGGCACAGACAGCAATGAAAATTGATAGGTGTTCTACTCCCTCTCCACTCTATCCAAAACTAAAAAAAAGAAGTTTTGCCTTTAGTTATACTTTAAGCAGGTCAGAAATGCATACAAGATTATACAAACTGGTGCCAAGACAGGCAGGTATAACATATGTTCTTTTGCAGGAACTTCTTTTTTCGTTTTCTTTTTCCTTTTTCACCTACAGGTTTGCTTTTAAAGTGTCCATACATACAGTATAATATGGAAAAAAAAAGGAACAATAATTGGCCTGTCATTAAAATAAAGATCTAACACTGTAGTATTTTTCTTGCAGAAATCTCTTGCCGAGGGGAACGGATCAGAGATTATTACCAAAAACAGCAAGGTTATGCAGCTTGCCAGACGACCGAGAAGGTATCGAGACTAGAATGCAGAGGAGGCTGCTCCAATGGTCAGTGCTGTGGACCCCTAAGAAGCAAACGACGGAAATATGTTTTTGAGTGCACCGACGGTTCCTCATTTGTGGACGAAGTCGAGAAAGTCATAAAGTGTGGCTGTACAAAGTGCCCCTCCTAAATATGTAACCGTCACGAGTCTTTTGACAAAGTTGTATACCTTTTGACCGTGTTGGACTAATTCAAATTTCATAGTGGAAAATATTTTGAATTATATTGTAAAATACAGAAACAGACTTATTTTTATTAAGAAAAAAAATGACATTTTCCTCACTGGCAATGAAAAAAACAAAAAGAAGCAAAAAAGTTCTTATCTAGGACTTCTAGTAAAGAAGAAGATATGTTAGATGGACATTGACACACACGTCTCCTTAGATCTCCCTTGAGTGAGGGGAATTACAATTGCTAATCAACATGGTTTGCTATTTACAACATTCTGAAGATAAAGAAGATTCTTGATGTTTTCTGCCGTCAAGTTGAAAAGTCGGGGGGAAGGTTAATTGTCCCAGTTATGAGGTTTGTAAATTGGCTGTGACACAGCCCTCTTCAGCCCCACCGATGGGAAAACCACACAATTATGATAAAGGAAAAGCTGTGAATGATAAGGGATCAAGTTGAAACCCTGAAGCACTGAGCGCACCCCAAGTGAACCGCTGAAACGTATCGGGAGCTCTGATGCATTTCAATTCATCTAGACAAGAACCAAGGATGGGACTGAGCATTAGCCCAGAGTAGACTCATCTTTTCAATCTGTTAATGTCACGTGATAGCACAAGAAGCATATGGAGGTCTTCATCTAGCCTTTTCCAGTATTATTTTTTTATTTTTGTTTTGTTTTTGTAATATAAAAAAATTAACTGGGCCATTAGAAAACAAAAAAGTCAGGTAGTTTTTTTTATTTTTTTGTTTTAATTAGGAATAATTTTACAACTTCTAAGGAAAAAAAAACATTTATAAGCAGTATTCAGATTGAATAAGACATATTTATTGTACCAGAGTACATCATTGTTAACAATTTTAGTTTATCCCCTTTTCCCAATGCTTTAATATATATTAATTTATATTTGTCCTGATATTTTTCTATTTTGATAAATGCAAAATGACTCAGTCAGGATTTTTTTTCCTCTTATAGAACTAACATGTGTCAGATGAACTAGTTTTGTGTTCGATAATGTGGTTGTGATACGCGCTATGTCCTCAATGTTAGGGCACATGGTGACAAATGTACAATAGAGTGTGTTTACATTAGATCAAAAATGATATAGAAGTATTTTCCCTACATATAATATAAATATAATGTATATTTACGTAAAGAAACTAAAATTGTGTTGTAGGCAGATGAACGTCACTAGACTAGAGGAAGTTCCTTAATATTCCCCCATGAAGTTGTATCTGTTTTTAGAGCAGATTATTCCGTTCACAACTGTGGCTTCCCCCGTAATAAGACTACCATAGTAACACGTGGTTCCCATGTTAATAAGCTGCTGCTAAATCCAGTATATGATTGTTAATGGTCGGTAGTGGGCTGTGTTCTCCTTCCCTTTAATAAAGAAACAAGCAGGCACTCTGTACAATACATTTGTTATGTTCAACATTTTTTATTTGTATTTACAAAGAAATTAGGTGTACATGTATAATGCAGTGTGCTTTGTCATATTTGGACTGATATCAGTAATGCAACTGATGTTTGTAAATTAAACAGATATTACTTCCATATTTTCTGACTTGTCTTGTATTCTTGCATGCAAGTTTATATTAGAGAGCAAGTGGGGTTCTGCAGTTTCTGTAGAGTACACGTTGCCTAATGAGCCACATGCTCTGGCTGGAAGAGTAGTTGATGCATGGAATTATGTTTACTGTTAATGAGTCACTCAACAGTAAGTGGATTCAAACATGATTGGAACAAATATAGATCTATACTTGGGGAAATAAAAGTTAAAAATAAAAACAAAAAAAAGTGTCAGACTCGATGGGCCACTTGGTATTCTCTGCCATCACCCTTCTGTGTTTGTTTCTTCCTTACACCACGCTCTGCCAGAAGAGCTGTGAAATTCAGTATCCTAACCACATACATTATATTTGAAATGAGGATGATATTCGCCTCTACTGCCTGTACTGTACCTCTGGAAGCAGCATAAGGATGACTCTCTAAAAGGTGACCGTATTACCTACATTCGGCTTTCTCTTGGCAAGGGGGTCCTAAAGAAGAATTAAAGATTCTTATCCTTTCCGAAGGTGTTGCTTTCATGTGTAAAGGTTTTTCAATGTGTAAAGTTTGCTTACTCCTTTAGGGACAGTCATACCTGAGAGGCTTAGGCTGGTGCCACAGTTGCGATCCCGCCACTAGTTATTGGAAACAGTTAACAAACATCCTGAAGTTGTCAAGTTCTTGCTATGCAGGACATACCAGGGAGGGGGAATACTCACCTGCTTGCAAAATATCACTGCCTTGACAGCTAAATAAGCAAGGTGTGCTCTCTCAAAAACGACTTACATTTTCAAGTGTTTTCGCCAGCAAGGGAGTGATGCCTCACTTCTGAACCCAGTAAGGGAACAGCACACAGAAATCCGGTAAGTGTTCTCCGTGTATTTTCTTGTGACCCTGTGCCTGCTGAAATCTTGCTTGTGCCAGGATCATAAGCGTAAACCTAACCCTAACCTGAATACCTTCAGAATTCAACACATCTGGGAATGTCAGATACCTGCATCCTTCTTCCAACACCTACAGTGGGGATCGAAAGTGTGGGCACCCCAGCTAAAAATTTGTATTAATGTGCATAAAGAAGCCAAGGAAAAAAGGAAAAATCTCCAAATTGGCATCAAATTACAGATTAGACATTCTTATAATATGTCAACAAAAGTTAGATTTTATTTCCATCATTTATACTTTCAAAATAACAGAAAACAAATAAATGGCATCTGCAAAAGTTTGGGCACCCTGCAGAGTTAATATCTTGTACTGCCCCCTTTGGCAAGTATCACAGCTTGTAAACGCTTTTTGTAGCCAGCCAAGAGTCTTTCAATTCTTGTTTGAGGTATCTTTGCCCATTCTTCCTTACAAAAGTCTTCCAGTTCTTTGAGATTTCTGGGCTGTCTGTCACGCACTTAAAAGCTGCTCTTTTAAGGTCTATCCATAGATTTTCAATTATGTTGAGGTCAGGAGATTGTGAAGGCCATGGCAAAACCTTCAGTTTACGCCTCTTGATGTAATCCCCCGTGGATTTCGAGGTGTGTTTAGGATTGTTATCCATTTGTAGAAGCCATCCTCTCTTTAACTTCAGCTTTTTCACAGATGGCATCAAGTTACCATCCAAAATTTGCTGAAATTTTATTGAATCCATATTTCCTTCTACTCGTGAGATGTTCCCTGTGCCACTGGCTGCAACACAACCCCAAAGCATGATTGATCCAACCCCATGCTTAACAGTTGGCCAGAGGTTCTTTTCATTAAATTCTGTGCCCCTTCTTCTCCAAACGTACCTTTGCTCATTCCGGCCAAAAAGTTCAATTTTAACCTCATCGGTCCACAGAACTTGTTTCCAAAATGCATCAGGCTTGTCTATATGTTCATTTGCAAAGTTCAAACGATGATTTTTGTGGTGAGGACGTAGAAGAGGTTTTCTTCTGATGACTCTTCCATGGAGACCATATTTGTACAAGTATCTCTTTATAGTGGAATAGTGTACCACAACTCCAGTGTCTGCCAGATCTTTCTGGAGGGATCGTGCAGTCAAACGTGGGTTTTGAATTGTTTTTCTCACAATCCTGCGAGCTGTTCTGTCTGATATTTTTCTTGGTCTTCCAGATCTTGCTTTAACTTCCACTGTTCCTGATGACTGCCATTTCTTAATTACATTCCGAACAGAGGATATTGACATCTGAAAACGCTTTGCTATCTTCTTATAGCCTTCTCCAGCTTTGTGAGCGTCAACTATTTTCAGTTTCAGTTTTCTAGACAACTGCTTAGAAGAACCCATGGTGCTGATTGTTGGGGCAAGGTCAGATGAGTCTGGGCATTTAAAAACCTTTGAGATTGACATCACCTGGTCTTCCCAGATGATGATTGAGAACAATCCATGACACTGGCAGGTCTCAGCTTTGCAAAGGGGGAAGTGCATGCTATAAATTCTGCAGGGTGCCCAAACTTTTGCAGACGCCATTTTTTTGTTTTCTGTTATTTTGAAAGTGTAAATGATGGAAATAAAATCTAACTTTTGTTGACATATTATAAGAATATCTAATCTGTAATTTGATGCCTTTTGGAGATTTTTCCATCTTTCCTTGGCTTCTTTATGCACATTAATACAAATTTTTAGCTGGGGTGCCCAAACTTTCGATCCCCACTGTATGTCACTACTAAGTCCTGTTGTGATGGAAGTTGCTGCACACTGGAAAAGAGGGTACGTGGGAGAAGAAGGCTCCTGAAAAATGAGCATAAGGGCTCTTCTCTTGCAGGGCAACTTTATTTAGATTTTCATTTATCAAGATAGGGTTGGTTTAATAGTAGTTATGTAAAAAACAGAAAGTCTGCAGCCTTGATGATTTATGGAATTTCTTCCCCTACAGACCTGCAAAAGAAATCTGTGAAATGATGAGTTATATTGGCCAGCAGCATTGCATAAATAGCTGTAGGGCTAACTTTATAGCAATTTTAATCTTAAAAGTGTTACTAAACCCACAACAGTAAAATCAGTCTGTATATGCAGTAAAGCATGCCTGTTATACTCACTGTGAAACCTAAGGGGTTAATCTTCTGCCTGCATTGTGTAACATGGATGTTTGATCCTGACTTCTCTGATCCTCCCATTCTTCCAGTGTCTCCCTCTTATCTCCTATATCTCTCCTCTTATCTCCTTATCACTTATATGGTGACACTCTGCACATGCTCAGTTTGGTGTGTATTGCTAGAGAGGTTTTTTTTTTTATTCTTGGAAGAGTACATGTGATCAGCACAGGGCCAATCAGCACTGTCCAGACAGAGGTCAAAGGTGCTGCATCCTCATACAGAAAACTCCTCCTACAAGCTTTAACTGGTGCTCTACTGAACACTGATAGATGTCACTGCTCTAACTGCTGATGAGAAACGGTATGTAGCAGTTTATATTTACTAAAATAATTGCC